CTCTCTCCTGATGTTCTTTCTATATATCTGATCACTTCTTATTCACTTTTGTTTGCTCATTCGCTTTCTCCTTCTACCTAAGCAACTGTATATCCCCAAACCTTGTTCTTGGTGCTCTTTTCTATTGTTATGGGATTGAATATCATCTCTATATAAATATCATACATAAGATATATATCCACATGTATGTATGTATGTTTATGTATTTAGCCCTCATCTTTTTCTGATTTCCAGTTTTCTATCAACAATTGCCCACTTTTCTCCACTGTCTTCACTACCATTCTCATTCTCTTTAATATATAATCTTTCTCTGTCTACTAACTCCTTCCCTGCTCCTACAAACATGCCCCCAAAAATTACCTGATCCAACCATAGCTATCATTACATATCTCTCCTCCCCCTCCTGTCTAAAGTCCTTAAGAAAGTCATCTACACTTGGTTCCTCCCACTTCCTTCCTCTCATTCTCTTCTAAAATCTGCGCACTCTTGCTTCTAACATCATCATTCAACCAAAACTGCTCTCTCAAAAGATACCAATGATCTCTTAATTGCCTAACCTAATGGCCTTTTTCTAAGTTTCATTCTTCTTGACATCTCTGCAGTCTTTGACACCACTCATCACCTTCTCCTCCTGGATCCTCTCTTTCCCCTAGGTTTTTGTATTTTGTGTCACTGCTTTCCCTTGCTTCTCTCTTCTCAATGACAGCTTCCTTCTAAGTCTCCTTTGCTGGTTCTTCATCCATGTTATGCTCATGAATTCCCCACTTTCACTCATTCACATATCCAATCCATTGCCAAATCTTGTTATTCCTTCTTCCACACTATATCTCTTATATCTTCCCTTTTCTACACACACACACACACACACACACACACACACACACACAGACAGCACTCTAGCTCAGACTCTTATCCTCTCTCTCTTCTGGACTATAGCAATAGCCTCAAGTCTCTCCTCAGTCCAATGCAACCCAGTCAGTCACACGTTCCTTAATAAGTACGTAAGTTCATATGGTGCCTTATAGTTTATAAAGCCCTTTTCTCTCAACAGCTCTGTGAGGCAAGTAGTGAAATACACTCATTTTACAGAAGAGGAAACTGAGGCTCAATAAGGTTGAATGACTTGCCCATAATCATGCAGCTATAAAATATCTGAGATGCAATTCAAACCCAGACCTCCTGACTCTAAGAGCATCACTCAATCTACTATGACATATCACCTCTTACACAACACACTCAAATGCACTTTTATTCAGACAATTCTATTTATTTATTTTATATTATTTTATATATTTATATTAATACTATATTTTTATTATGTTATATATTTTATATTATTTTATATTTATTTATTTATACACTTTTATTCAGACAACTCTACCACCATTATTCATTTTCTTTTCTTTCTTTTTTTTTTTAAGGCAATTGGGGTTAAGTGACTTGCCCAGGGTCACATAGTTAGTAAGTGTCAAGTGTTTGGTCTGAGGCCAGATTTGAACTCAGGTCCTCCTGACGTCAGGGCTGGTGCTCTATCCACTGCGCCACTTAGCTGGCCCATTATTCATTTTCTATTAAAAAAAATCACAGAATCATAAACCCTGAGAGTTGGAAAGGACATTGGAGTACATCTAGTTCAATCTCTTCCTTTTACCAAGGACAAAACTGAAACCCCAGAAAGCTGAAATGACTGGCTCACAGTCACTGGCTAGTCAGCTTCAGAACTAAGATGAGAATCTGGTTCTCTTGACTCCCCAGCATTGAAGCAATATGGCTTGAGAAAGATCACTGGTCTTTCAGTCCATAAACTTGGATGTGAGACTCAGTTCCAACATTTACTCAGGGTGTGACTTTGGGGAAGTCATTTAACCTCTCTGAGGTTAGTTTACACAGCTGTGAAATAGGAATAGTAATATTTTAACCTCTTATCTCAAAGGGTTAAGCCAAGGGAAGGACTTTGTAAAAGGACTCTATCAATGTGAGCTATTATTAACTGCTTCCTCACAAAATGTAGCCCACAATCAGGTCCATTTTGGCCTAAGTGTGATAAATGTAGAAGCCCAGCCTAAGCTTATTTCAATAGTAAAAATGAGAAATAATGGTGATTTATGAATAAGAACTGGATAATCTGCAGCCCAGTTTTTAGGTGTTTTTCTTTTAGTCTGGCGGAAGTTTTTCATTCATTCATTACCTTCTGGTGGCCAAAAGGTGGCACTGCAGTCTCTTCTACACAGAAGAAAGACAGATTCCTCAGCTTAGCAAGAACAAAGAACAGAGATTTTAGGACCACACTGGAGAAGAAGGAGAACCAGGGGTGTGCTGGTGGATGGTCAACAACTGGCTTGGGGTAGGTGGAAGAATGTATAAATGATACATTTCTAAGTTTAATCTGCATTATTAACATCTTCTCCATCATTTTCTTAAGTCTTGATAATCAAGAAAACAATACATCAAGCCCAGATTTGTAGCCTTTGCTGATTTCAGATGTATATGCTCAAAGTGAAAATTTAACAATTGGGTCAGCCAGTATGAGAAGGCTCCGGCATATTACTACCTAGAACCAACCAACCTCAATGGCTATCTAGCCTTTCAAGTCCTTCACTGACAGGAGAGGAAACTGAAGAGTTGAGAGGTTAAATACCCAGCTTAAGGTCACCCAAGTAGTAAATCCAAGAGCCAGGATTTGAACCCTGATTCAAACTCTTGATTTAAAATCCAGCAACTTTACCATTACACCTTTCACACAAAATAAATGAGCGTTAATATTAACACAGGAACCCTGCTGACAATTGATAAATGCAGAGAACTCCCCCCCCCCCACTTATGTAGACTACTATATCATCTGAGATTTGCCCCTTGTGGTCATAATCCAATATGATTATGTAAAATTTCCTCCCCCTTATGCAGACTGCTATATCATCTGAGGTCTCTCAAGGTCATAATCCAATAGGACTATGTAAAATAATGACAAAAATGTAAAAGGTGACCAGATTTCAGATGTGTCCCCATAGGGTATGAAAACAATTTAATGAATTCCATATCTACAGCTAAAGTATTGGGTGGGAGTAAGGGGGGTATTTCCTGGGTTAGAATGAAAGGAAATTCAGCCATGTGAGGGTAGAGGAAGCCAATGCAAAAGGAGATGTAGTCAGAGACAGAAGGCCCAGTCAGGAGACCCAGAGAGTAAATCTCAAGTTTATAATTCAAGTAAAAACTAGCTATTATGACAGAGAGAGGAAGAAAGGGGGGGGGGAGAGACAGAAAGAAAGAGAGAGAGAGAGAGAGAGAGAGAGAGAGAGAGAGAGAGAGAGAGAGAGAGAGAAAGGAGAGGGTAGAGGAAAAGTGAGGGCAGAAAAATGTTACCATATGTTCAAAAGGCTAACCTGCCTAATACAAGCCACATGTATATAGCCTAAAAAAGTCAAAATTTCTGTTGGAAATAAAAAAGAAATGGCACTTAAATGTCAGTGACCACAGAACTATTTAGCTAATAGTGTTAAGCTACCCAAGAGACTTAGATACATAGCCCATCCTTACAAGAAGACGAGGGGTATCACTACAATCAACAACAAGGAGCATTCTCACCCTGGCCCACCCTGACCTTTCTCTTTTCTGAATGAATGAACTCACTACTGGCTCTACTACTCTTTGGCCACCTATATCCAAATGTCTTGCATTATCATTCCCCTGCTTTGTGTATCTCTGCTTTCCCAATAAGACTGTAAGATCCTCAAAGGCAGGAATTAGGTTTAAATACTTCTTTTGTAAGCATAATAATCAATAATAATAACAATTATTGTTTTTGCTCAGTCGTGTCCAACTTTTCACAACCCCATTTGGGGTTTTCTTGGCAAAGGTATTAGAGTAGTTTGCCATTTCCTTCTCCAGTTCCAGGAACTAAGGCAAACAGGGGTAAGATACTTGCCCAGGGTCATATAGATACTAAGTGTCTGATGCCAGATTTGAACTCAGGAAGATGAATCTTCTTGACTCCAGGCCTGGCACTCTATCCACTGCACCACTCAGCTGCCCTATAATAATGATTAGCAGCTGAATTTCTACAGCATTTCAAGATCTGCAAGGTGTTTAACGTATATTATCTCCTTTGATCCTCACCATAATCTTGGGAGGTAGATGCTATTATATCTGCACCTGACAGATGAGGAAACTGAGGCTTAGAAAAGTTGAGTGATCTGTCCAGGGTCTGATAGTGTTTCTGAGGCAGGTTTTCAATTCAGGCAAGTCTAGCGTCATATCCACTAAGTCATGCTGCCTCTTATACCACCCCGTCCCATCCCCTCCTATCTCTCAAGGCGCATATGTAGCTTCTAACACACAATCCTAATCTTGTGCCAGGTGTTCAAAAAAATACTGAAGTCAACCATGCCCAGACTAATGATGGCAGAGAACTAATGGGAAGAGTATTAGAATTTATTTTGTCACTCCTTTCTCAGCAGGCTAATCCAAAATAAAAAAAGAGTTCCAGCATATTGTGAGGAAAGTACTTTGTGAACTGAAAAGTACTTTGTAAATATAAGCTATTATTATTATTACATATTATATATTTCCATCCATGTTATGCTATATGTGCACACATATGCCAGCCTGCCTTTAAGAGGATTACATCAATAGAAAAACAAATAAAATTGACATTATTTAATATTTCCCTTTCATATTCTACCTCGATACTACAAAAACTGTTAATGAAACACTCGATGAGACAGTGGCTACTTTCAGGGGAACCATAATGGCACTCAGGGGTGATTTCCTTCCCTACCCCACTTTACAATTTCCCCCTCTATTACTCCCTAACCCTGGGATTTATGATTTAGGAACCAAGGCTAGTTGATACAACATATCTCTTTAGTCTCCGCAGCGCTGGTGATTCCAACTGACAGCACACGTGTTACTGAATAACTTCTAAATCAGGTACAATTTGATAGGTATCAACCCACCAATACGATGTTTACATCGAGAGAACCATAATATATTTTTCCTCTTACCTACAGTCAATGCTTCAAACAACCGGTGGATAATTTTGATATCCTTCACAATTCCTGATTCCTGAATTCTCTTCACAAAGACATCCAGATGCATATGCTTCTTTGGTAACTCAAAATTTTTCACGGGGTCATCTACCTTGGTGACTTCTCTTGGTTTTTCCATTATTTCACTAATGAGTCTTTTGAGCTCAGGCTGCCGTTCAGCTTGAGAACGTTCAGAAGAAGACATTGACTCCACCATTCTATTTACGAGATCAGCAGGAAAAATACTTATGTCCGTTCTGTACAGACTCTGAAAATCTGAAAGTGCACCCAGGAGTTTCCCTTCCATTAAATTAATGAGTCCTCGAAGGTAGAGATACCTTGCCAGCAGCACAGAGTTATCAGATGGTGGGAAATTGATAGCCTTACTCAGAAGGTCGATAAAATCAGCATAATAGGAATGAACGCACTGACTCACCAGTGGAAAATGTATTTCTGGTATCTTGAATGTGTACACTGATTTGGAGGTCAGCTTTGGAACTAAAAGGCAACAAAAAGAAGTAAGGTTGAAAATAAGAAAATTATTGACATACAGTCTTAAAGTTAGTTATGTGTTCACCATGACTTTTAAGTGAAATATTTGTATGCCCTGGGAATCATGTCTACATGCCCCAATGTTACAACAAATCCAAATGCTGCAAAACCTGAAAATGGAGTGAGTTTATAATTTAGCATATATTGGCCATGGAACCAATCTCTGCTCATATTCCTAAACCCCACACTGTTTCAAGGAAGCATTTCAGAATCTGTTTTAATCAATCGGTGTTTATTAAGCACCTCACTGGTACCTGGTATTGTGCTAGGCATTGGATTTTTTTTAACTCAGATTTTTTTCTTTTTTTATTATAAAGTAGACAAACATCAAATATGGACATTTAAGTATGCAAAGGGCAGGAAAAAGGGAATGTACATGAAACTGTGGACTTCTATCATATACAGTTTCTTAAGTGTATATTAAATTTAAAACTATAGTAACAAAACTGCCCTGCTTATCTGTATCCCTTCTGAAATTCCTTCCTTCTGTTCTCTTCTGTGTATATTTTTTATATTTCACTGAAGTTTGTCTATTTTCCTTTTTAATTATTGCATCTCTATCAACTCCTCACCCAAGGCAAAGAATTTCAAAATAAATTCTTTTCACAAAATTGTTTTGGATATAAGTCAGTCAGTTTTCAGATCTCTCCAGGAGCCCCATCCCATCTACTCATGAAATACTCCAGGGATTCAAATGAAACTGGGACTCTCCCTCTATTTCCCACAGAGAGATCAAAGAGTACCTTCTCAAGCATTCTCAAGTCCCCACCATGGCGGCTTCCCTTGACTAAAAACAAGTCCAGCAGAGACTCAACTTGCCCCAGCAGTTCCAGACAGGGGTGAGTGTTCCAGCTCTTTTTAATACTTAAAGGGACCTCAGATGCTTTAAAACAAGCTGATGTTTGCAGAACCAAAGGATACAGTTGGCCCTCAGGCCAGTTTACAAATAGCTGATGTTACACTGGTGCATGATTTGCTGCAGCTCAGAGAGAAACAAAATGTGTCAAATGTCAAATTGTCAATTTATATTTTATTATAATTTATATTTCAAGGGTTCTTTGGATACTTCAAATTGACATTATGAGTTAAATTATTTTTACAAATTCAGCTATTTCACATAAGCAACCACCATGTCATTCAGTTAGGATATTTTAAAAATATTTATCTATAAAGTCTAGGATTGCATTTCTGAATTATAAAAGTTTTAGCAGCATCCATCAAAGTTTGGGGAAAGAAATGACACAGATAAATCACTTTATCACCTGTATTATAGCCTTTACAACTATCCACAGTTTCTATTTTCCGAAGTGAAGAATTCCTTGGGGGTAATTCAGGTATTTTTATGTCTTGTAGATTTGGCATGCTCATTACCATTCGTCTTTTAACTATGTGCTGAGAGGAAAATCTTCGAGAAGCCATTTTCTCAATTGTTGGTCTTCGTGGGCTTACGAGCATGACATTCATTCTGAAAAGACAAACAAACCTCAAGTAACCATATTTTATAGATGTTGCAATATGCTGAAGAATAACAAGTTATGATTCCTCAGAAACCAATATGAATGGCAGACACAGATAAGTAGAAATTAGAGCTGTTAATGAAATAGCAAAATATACTATATAATTTAAGTTGATCGATGACCATTTATTAAGTACTTACTATGTACAGTGTGCTAGACCATTTTAACTAACACCTAAAACTAAACCTGTATCCAAAAAGAAAATTCAGAAACTTAGCAATGGCTGATATCTTTAGCTCCAGAGCACTTTCTAAACAAGGGATTCTTAATATTTTTTGTGTTATAGATCACTGTGGCTATTTAGTGAAGTGTATGAACCCTCTCTTAAAATAATATTTTTAAATGCATAAAATAAAATACATAGGATGGCTAAGGAAACTAATTGATTTAATTGAATTTAATTAATTTAATTGAATTAAAAGATAGTCATCAAAATATTTTTTAAAAAATAATTTCATGGGCCCCAGAATAAGAACTGATATTCTAAACAAATCCAATTTAAGATATTTTGGGCTTAACATTTCAGCAGACTCTAGCCAAACACACAGTTGAACACTTTAAGTGTGATTATGTGTTTGTTCTGGGGAAATTCTAAAAAGAATTATTAAGAGAGATGGCTGGTGAAAAGAAAACTGGTAATTTCAAAGAACATGGTTTCACCAAGAACAGGCTATGCTATATTATCCTAATTTTTTTTTTTTTGGTTGACAGAATTGCTAAACTAATAGATGAAGGGAATGCTGTGGCTACAATCTCCTTAGATTTCAGCAAAGCTTTTGATAAAGTATCTCATATTATTCCTGTGGAGAAAATGGGCAAAGGGAGACTAGATGACAATACAATTACATGGATTCAGAGCTGAGTGGACGACCAGACTCAAAGAGTAGCCGTTAATGGTTCAGTGTCGACATGGCAGGAGATCTGCAGCAGAGTTCCCCAGGGATCAGGGTTTGGCCCTATGCTGTTTATCAGTGACTTAAGTAAAGGCATAGATGGTGCTCTAATCGAATTTGTCAATAAACACAAATCTGGAAGGGACAGCTAACACAGCAGATGATGGTCAGGACACAAAAGAGTCTTGACAGGCTAGAGCAGGGGTCAGGCAAACTCCTGCTTTCACCGACAAGCTAAGAATGGCTTTTACATTTTAAAATAAAGTTTAATTATATTTTAAAATGTAAAAAACATTCTTAGTTCATGGATTTTACAAAAACAGGTCAACAGCCAGCCATAATGTGCTGACCACCTAGGCTAGAGAGCATTGGACTGAACTGAATAGAATAAAAATATAGAGATAAATGTAGAATTTTGTATTTGGATACAAAAAAAACTACTTTACAAGTACAAAACTGGGGATGGGGAAGGGAGTGAGGAGGAAATGCAATTGTTCTGAAAAATAGTGCAAGGTTTTGGCAATCTGAAAGTTCAATGAGTTGGCAGTGTAATGTCGCAGTCAAAAAACCCCCCAATTATTATTAATGCAATCTAGGGCTATGTTAAGAAAGTCATAGCTCCCACGAATAAGGAGGTGATAGTTTCCCTGTACCTTGCCATCATCAGACCTCATCTGGAGTATTGTGTTTAGTTTGGGGAGTTTAAGAAGGATATTGATAAGCTTCCCAGAGGAGAGGTGACCAGAACCATCCAGAGTCTTATACTTGTCTTGGATCATACTGTTGCTGAGAAGAGCTGAGTCCATAGTTGATCATCACACAACGTTACTGATACGTAAAACGTTTTCCTGGTTCTACTCATTTTGCTTTGCATTAGTTTGTACGAGTCTTTCCATGTTTTTCTGAAAACTGACTGTTCATCATTTCTTAATGCACAATAGTATTCTATTACATTCACATACTGAAGCTTGCTCAGCCATTCCCCAACTGATGGGCATCCCCTCAATTTCCAATTCTTTGCCACCATGAAAAGCGCTACTATAAATATTTTTGCACATGTAAGTCCTTTTCCCTTTTTTATCATCTCTTTGGGATACAGACCTAGTAGTGGTATTGCTGGATCAAAGGGTATGCACAGTTCAGTCGCCCTTTGGACACAGCTCCAAATTGCTCTCCAGAATGGCTGGATCAGTTCACAACTCCACCAACAGTGCATTAGTGTCCCAATTTTCCCACATCCTTTCCAACATTTATCATTTACCTTTTTTGTCATATTAGCCAATCTGATAGGTATGAGACGGTACCTCAGAGTTGTTTTAATTTGCATTTCTCTAATCAAAAGTGATTTAGAGCACTTCCTCATATGGCTATAGACAAATTTGACTTCTTCATCTGAAAACTGCCTTCTCATATCCTTTGACCATTTATCAATTGGAGAATGGCTTGTTTCTTATAAATTTGGCTCAGTTCCCTGAGAAATGAGGCCTTTATCAGAGACACTTGCTGTAAAGATTGTTTCCTAGCTTTCCTTCTAATCTTGGTTGCTTTGGTTTTGTTTGTGCAAATGCCATTTAATTTAATATGACCAAAAGTATCTATTTTATATTTTGTAATGTTCTCTATCTCTTGTTTGGTCATAAACCCTCTAACTCACTTAACTTCTCCTTTAAGAATTTGGATGCTATACCACTTGGTGTATATGTTCAGTATTGATATAGCAAAATGTCGTTTCCTTCCTTTTATCTCTTTTAATTAGGTCTATTTTTGCTTTTGCCTTGCTTGAGATCAGGATTGCTACCCATGCTTTTTTTTTTTTACTTCAGTTGAAGCATAATAGATTCTGCTGCAGCCCCTTACCTTTACTCCATGTATGTCTCTCTGCTTCAAGTGTGTTTCTTGTAAACAATATATTGTAGGATTCAGGGTTTTGATCCACTCTGCTATCTGCTTCTGTTTTATGGGAGAGTTCATCCCATTCACATTCACAGTTATGATTACTAACTGTATTTCCCTCCATCCTATTTTCTCTCTTGTTTATCTTCTCTCCTCTCTCCCTTTCCCTCCTCACCAGTGTTTTGCTTCTACCTACTGCCTCCCCTGATCTGCCTTCCCTTCTGTCAGTCCGTCCCTGCTGGGTAAGATAGATTTATATATTCAACTGATGGTGTATATTATTCCCTCTTCAAATCAATACTAAAAAGAGTAAGGTACAAGTGATGCCCAATGCCCACCCTCCCATCTTTGCCTCCACTATAATAGGCTTTTCTCACCTCTCCATGTGAAATAATTTATCCCATTCTATCTCTCCTTTCCTTTTGTACACAGTGTACTCCTCTTTCTCATCCTTTATTTTTTCATGTATTCCCTCAAATTCACCTTATACCCATACACTCTGTATATTCCTTCTAGGTGCATATTTAGCACACAGTTTTAAAAATTAGAAGTATCATCTTCCCATGTAGGGATGTAAATAGGTCAGCTCCATTGAATTCCTCATGCTTTCTTTTCTCTTTTTTCCTTTTTAGGCTTTTCTTAGGTCTTGATACTGGAGATCACATTTTTGTTCAATTCTGGTCTTCTCTTTATGAAACTGAAGGATCATTTTTTTCCCTTGAAGTATTATGCTTAATTTCGCTGCATAGGTGGATCTTGGTTGTAGTCCTAGATCCTTTGCCTTCTGGAATATCATCTTCCATGACCCCTGATCCTTTAATGTTGCAACTGCTAAGTCTTGTGTAATCCTGATTGTGTCTCCCTGATATGTGAATTGTTTCTCTCTGGCCACTTGCTGTATTTTTCCTTGATCTGAGAGCTCTGAAATTTGGCTATAATGTTCCTTGGAGTTTTTATTTTGGAATCTCTTCCCTGATTGGTGGATTCTTTCAATGCCTATTTTGCCCTGTGGTTCCAGGATATCAGAGCAGTTTTCCTTGATAATTTCTTGAAAGATGCTGTCCAGAGCCTTCCTTTGATAATGGCTTTTAGGTAGTACAATGATTCTGACACTGTCTCTCCTGGATCTATTTTCCAGGTCATGAGGGATTTCACATTTTCTACTGTTTATTCATTCTTTTGAATTTGTTTGATTAATTCTTGATGTCTCATAGAGTCATTAGCTTCCATTTGCCCATTTCTAACTTCTAAGGAGTTGTTTTCCTCAGTGAGCTTTTGTACTTTCTTTTCCATTTAGCCAATTCTACTTTTTAAGCAGTTGTTTTCTTTTTTCAAGCTGTTGACTTTTTTTCATAATTCTCTTGCATCACTCTCATTTCTTTTCCCAATTTTTCTTCTACCTCTCTTATATGATTTTTAAGCTCCTTTTTTGAGTTCTTTTCATGAGTTCTTTCTAGACTTGAGACGACTTCCATTTTCCTCTAGGGCTTTGCCCAATTGTTTACCCATTGTTGTCCTCTTCTGAGTTAGCATCTTGATCTTCCCTGTCACCATAATAACTTTCTACGACCAGATTTTTTTTGTTGTTGTTTTTTGCTCATCTTTTTTGGCCTTTCCCTTTCTTTTGGAGGTCTGGCCCCAAACAGATGATTTTATATTTGATCCTGGAGGTAATATGGAACTACTGGAATTTACTGAATGGGAGGTGACATGATGAGACTTTGATTTGTACATAGATGGCTCATGTAAAGATTTTGTAGAGTTGGTAGAGTAGGCATATAGGTTGGTAGTTGTAATATTTTTTGGTATTAATAAGGTCGAAGATTTTTTTCTACACTTTTGGTATCTTCCTGTCCTTTGGCTACTTCACATATGGCCCCTTGGATCTGTCACTCTTGTGTTTCCCTCCAGTGGGGATCTCGTTTCCATATATTTGGTCCAGTCCAGCTGCTTTCCCCTTCATTACCATCACTTCTACCTCACCTATCACAACATCTTGGACTGTGAAAGCAGAAATCCAAGTAGTAGCACCACTGTCCTGGACGGTGAAGTTTGTCACCATAATCTTTACAGATCTTTTCCATTCTGGTCCTTAAATGGCCTTGGGATGACGTGGTTCAATTGGCTCTCTTACCAAGCTTTCCCTAAACTGGTTTTAGGCTCTACTGTTTCTCTCTCCTTCATCAGATGCTGCTGCTCATATTCATCTCCCACCTTTCTTCACAAGAGTATACAGACAAGTTTACCTTATAAACAAGTGTTGGCTTTGGCTGCCATCTCTCTCCACTTGGCAAGTAAGTCATTGTTTGCTGAAAAAGTTGCTTTCAGAGTTTTGTTGGTTTTCTTTCTGTAGCAACAATTTACAGCAGATCAATGTCCACATAAAATTATATAATCGGTACTGATGTTGTTCTTGCTGTTGAGTCATTTCAGTCACATCCAACTCTTCATGACCCCATTTGGGGTTTTCTTGGCAAAGATACTGGAGTGGTTCATCATTTCCTTCTCCAGCCCATTTTACAGATGAAGAATTAAGACAAACAGAGTTAAGTGACTTGCCTAGGGTCATCCAGCTAGTAAGCATCTAAGGCCAGATATGAATTCATGAAGATGAGTCTTCCTGACTCCAAGCCCAGCACACTATCCAGTGCACCACCTAGTAGCCCATGCAGTATTAATACTATTACTGAAGTCCATTCCCATTACTGATTGCTGGTACATTTTTAAATAGTTCAAGATTAAGTTGTTTCAACTGTTTAGCATTTACTTTTCTCATCATTCTTTTTGTAGCTTTTTATTAATTCTGATCTTTTCCCTGATAAGTCAGCTGTTTGACTAACCAAAGATTCAGAGACAATACTGCATCAGTAACAAATCTTTTTTTGTCTGGGTAGAATGCAATCTTTTTATACTTTTTTTAGTGTTATTTGATGCTTGCCATATATAGCACCTACCAATTCTTTTCTCAAAAAAAAAATTCACCACATAAAAGCATCAAGATTATGTTTTTTGTTGTTTCTGTTCAGTTATTTCAGTTGTGTATGACTCTTTGTGACCCCATATGGGGTTTTCTTGGCAAAGAAACTGGAGTGGTTTGCTATTTTCTTTTCTAACTCATTTTACATATGAGAAAACTGAGGCAAACAGTGTTAAGTGACTTGCCAGTGTCTGAGGCCAGACTTGACCTCATGAAGATGAGTCTTCCTGACTCCAGGTCTGGCACTCTATCTGCCCATGAGTGGTCTACAGGTCTTTGGTCTTTCTTTGGTTTTCTGTGAACTATGTTTTCCCACATATTTCTCACCATCCTTACCTTTACATAGAAGCCACTGAGTATCATAGTATACATTGATTTAATTTGGGGTGTATTAAAAGTTTTTGTAGAATTTCTCTATCTCTTCATACTCAACAACATTGGTTAGTGCATAAACTGAAATTAATTTCATGGTGGTCTTTTGTAAATAGTTGTCATCAGTACTACTATATGAGTTGATCAGCTGTCCCATGAAATAATCTTTTTTTTTGTTTCCTTTGGATGTACAATAAAAACAACTCTACCAACTCCTCTTGAAAATGATAATATATATAAAATTGCTTTTGAAATTATAAAGTATGACCCAAAAATAAAGTTATATTACTATTCATCATAATAAAAAGTCATTAGTAGTTGTAGTAGCTACTTCAATACATCAAGTATCCATGATTTCATTGTTACGTATACTCTCTTCCTACATACAAATGGCAACCTCTCCATTTCTTACCTCTTTCTAATTATAAGTGGCCAAACCAATACCTGGTGGCAAGTCATCTGATCACGAGTGTCTCTTAACTTGGGCTGGTCCTTAAATGCTAGATCATTGCTAGATGCAAAATTATCATTCTACAGGGACATATTCTTGGTCTAAGAAGCAGGAATCACTCTCAAACCACCATGGGACACAAGAATAGGACTTTAATGGAGGACCATTATTACAGTTTTAAGCAATAATAATAAAAATAATAATTCAAGATTAAAAAATGGGACTATCCTGAGACAAGTTTGAAATAGTTACTGACCATCTTATTGTATCATCTAATTGTAACTTTCAAATGCGAGCAATATATAATGGAGTTTCATTGTGATAATTAATCTTCAGCCATTAAAGTCCTACAGAATCTCTTACCATTGTACAGGGGTGGTCATCAGTCTCAAAGGCTATGCCAGGGAAACACAAGTTCTAGAAGATCCATCCTGCAAACTAGAAAGGCCTTAAGTATAGGCCCTGTGATCCTGGTGATCAAACATGTGTCTATTGTTAAGGACCAGCTTAATTAAACTCAGACAGACTCAAGTTGGTAACAGGGAGACTCATTTTTCAGCCACAGCAATTCTTGAAAGGTATTTGTTAAATTACAAAATGGCTGAGATCTGCATTGGTGGAAGGAATACCTACATCAGTGAAATGACAAACTCTTGAAGGATTGAAGTAATTGCTTATCTTATCATTTTCTTAGCTTTGTGAATCTGAATTGGGCAATTATCATTGGAGAGAATTAATTATAATGAATATAGAATTATTCAACATTCCCTTAAGAAATTAGGCTATCCTAAGGTAAGTTTGAAGTAACTGCTAACCATCTGATTTTGGATTCCAGATAGGAACAACAGTTTTTGCAGTAAATATACTATGAAGTATAAAGTTTTTTAGCCAAAATAAAGAAATGTTTCTTTCCCATTTATTATCCGAATAAGTGACAAATTATGACTCCAAAATCCAGCCACAGAGTAAGCCACAAAGGGGGGGAAAACACGTACCTGTCTTCTTCAGACTCAGTGCTAAGTTCCATTTGAGCAAATGCATCCATTCTTCTGTTAAGACGAGCTTTAAGAAAAGAATGAAATATGTAGGTCTCTAATACCTGGAATGCACAAAAAAATTTCAGTTACAACTAAGCAAATTCAAGTGTACCAAGTTTCCTTCTCCACTGACCACAGTTCCTAGCACACAGACACTTAATAAGCATTTGCTAATTAATGAAATATCACATCTAAACAACAAGAAATGGGGGTGACTACAGAAGATTTGACTCAAACGACTGAAGTGAGAAGTAAGAATTACAGAGGCAAAGGCGCAGAGGGGATAACCAACTGAGGAGACTTCATCTGGGGGGCGGACATTATAGAGGTCTCCTTCAATGCAGGATTGTCTTGGCTACAATGAGCCTTGGCCTGGCCCTCTCCTGTCCCATTACACTCAACTGAAGGGACCCCACCTGAGAGCCCTTCCCTAGCCTATGACTAGCAAATTCCTTTCTCCTGTTGTTCTAATCCCTAAATCTAGTAAGTGAAAACCTCTTCCCCTTGCTACCTCTTTCTCCAAGTTCTTATCCCCATTCAGGTGAGCATTACAATTCTCTGGTTCAAATTCTCTTATTTCATTTGGAAGCCTCACTCTATGACTAACAAGCTCCATTTCACCCTCTATCCCTTCTTCTTACACTCCCATCTTCAGGCACTAACCATTCTCCAGTGATGCCCACTCCTCTCAGACACCACCACACAGGACCAGAAGTTAGCACAGTGTTTGCTTTCTTGCTGCTTTCAATAAGTTCTCTTTATTGAGTGCACATAATCTGACTATAATACCCCATCCAGATCTTTGCTGCTGTTATGTAGTGATTTCTAGGTCATTCTCTTTCCTTCCTCAATGAATTCCACCTCCTCCTACTATCAGGGGTGCCTTACACTCCTAGCCTTATCCCACTGGCCCTGGACCGTCCAAGAATTGACCTGACATGGCCAGGCAGTAGGAAGAGCCTCCACCACCACTGGGGGGTGCTCTATCTCCTTACTTTGCCCCTCTCCCAATTCTCTTCCTGGGCTGTTCCAGAACCCACCTGAGATGACCTTAACATCTGTCTGGCCTCTATGCCCTGCAGTCCCTCAGCATTGCCATCTTAACTACTTAAGTAACTCAAGAATGTCTGGGCCTTGCCATTGATTCAACCACTGAAGGCTGAAGACTTTTGGACCTTTCCATCTGCCCTGGAGCTAAACTAATTGATAAGCAATATTTATGAGAGCAGGGATTCTCTACCTTTTTCTATTTCCATACCCAGTGCTTAGCATTGTGTTTGGCCCAAAGTAACCACTTAATAATTTTTCCCTCATTCATTCATTCATTCCTCATAGAGAATCCAAACTCTAATACCTAAACTAATTGGTACTAAAGTCATACAAAATATTTTTCAAACATCTGGACCTCCGAGGTCCAAATTAACACCTTCTATTACTATGACCTCTATTATCATCTCGCCTTAGTCATCTACGTGAGTGGACCAGCCTTAGATCTCACGTCACCAAAACCTGTTCATCCTCCCAAAATCTGAACTCTGCAAAGTCCTTTCTCTGATCACAACCTCTGGTATGCCCACTTCTCCTAGGGCTCATCCCACCTAAGCCTTCTCTTGGTCCTTACCATAACCTACAATCTCTCCATCTCTATTTTCCAAGTCCATTCTCTTTCTTTTGGCTTCACATTCTCCCCTTCACAATCTTGATCCTAGTTCAACAAAGCATTGTCTTTCACCCTGGAATTCCCCCATGCCTTTGTTTTCCCATTCTTCAAGGGCTGCTGATCCTCCTCCATGAGTCACACTCATATCTACTTTCTCTGCTTTTACTCCTAATGCACTGAACCCTAAAAGGGAAGCCGTAAAATCATAGGAATTGGCTCCACTACAAATTCATGTTACTTAATAATATCTGGCATTGACACAGCATGTTATAAATACATTATCTCACTTGATCTTCACCACAATCTTATGAGGTAGGTAGGAAAGGTCTTATTATCCCTATTTTATGGATGAGGAAACTCCCAAGAGTATGTGTCTATTGCCACACAGCTAACAGGTGTTGGAAGCAGGTTTCAAACCTAGGAGTCTCCTGACTCCAAGCTCAGTGTTCTTTCTACCACACCACATTGCTGCTAAATACAATTGAGCCCTCGCTATTGTACGGAAATCTTTTTATTCACCCAAACCTTCTCCTCTTTCCTTAAATCCTCAATTTCAAATCCAATCCCCTCTACCTCGCTTTCTACTTTGCTGAGCTCTCTCATATTCCTTCCTCTTCTGCAGTGGTGTACTGTAGTGGGCTCATACTGGCTTAATAGAGCTGATAATTAAATTTCAGGGTGAGCATTTACACCTCAGAAATCAGCAAATGCTACAAATCAGGTCTTGACTTATCATTTCATTAAGAAAGTGATGGAAAATATGTTAATAATGTTGATTAAACATAAAAGGTGTTAGACATACATTGTTTCCCATAAAGCCAGATGCTGAACATTTACCAGCACACACTACCAGCTCCATCCCAGCTTTCAGGGGAAGAAGTGGGCTTTCTTTTGGCCAAGGCTAACCCATTCACTTGCTCCCCCGATCCCATCTCTTCCCTTTCATGAACTTAATCTCTGTCCTCCTCTCAACTTCGATCTCTCTCCATCTACTTCCTTGCTGTCTACAGACATGCTCATATCTCCCTAATACTTGACTTTAAAAAAAGAAAAGAAAAGAAAACATCTTTACTTTACTGCCTACCTAAAGTTGTTGTCCTACAGATCTTTCTCCTTTCACTGATAACCCCTTAGTAAGAATAGCTGACAGTATCTCTACTCTCAGAGTTGCAATGACCATATCTGTGCAGATGACTCCTAAAGCTATATATCTAGCCTTAATCTCTCAAATATATTCTGGTTCCGTATCTCCCACCTCCTATTATACATGTCCATGTGGATCAGGGGTGTGCTGGAGCAAGGTCAAACCATCTTAGGAGAACTAATTGTTAAATTTTCAATGTGAGCATTTAACACTCCATCCACCATGCTGCTGGATGCCTCTAAGTGGGGCTGGAAACCTATCACATCTGAGATTCTATAAATCGAGAGCTGTCCAAAAGTATATTGGGCTACCCCAGGGGGTAGGGAGTTACTGTTACTGAAGGTCTTCAAACAGACACTGTATGCCCCACTTTTGGGAGGATTATAAAGAGTGGATTCTTATTCAAGTACAGATTTGGTTTATATAACCTTGGTGATCTTTTCCAGCTCTTAGATGCTATGCTTCTATGATACACCTCACAAAGATGGTGGCTAGTAATACTCCCACATCATCAGGTAACTATAGAAATTACAGTTGGAAGGAACCTTACAGATTATCTAATCTAAACCTTTGTTTTACAGAAGAGGAAACCAAGGTCACATATTAGCTTCATGGCAGATCTGGGACTAGAACACACATATGAAGATCAAATAAGATATCTGTATGTAAATCATTATATCAACATGAAAGCCGTTGTCTAGCCCACCACAACAAAACCCTCTAGAAAGAAACCTTATTTAAATATATATTGTGTAAATAAATGTTGTTGAACTCAAATAGAAACTAAGCCCCCTACTGACTTAGAAAATCACAAATTAACATTATCCATGTTGTATTGTATTTGTGTTAGCTATTGTTCACAAATTAACAAATTCCCAGCTACACTTTAATCTGGTTCAGGCCTTATTTGAGTTTTGCCAATAGAGTAGTCCTCAGGCCCCTATCTACTCTGACACCTCTGATGAGAGCTGTCTCTTTTCAGAGGGTGTGGGATAGCAGAGAGAGCTGGCTCTGAATCCCAGAGAGTTTGAGTTCTGCCTCTGACACCTCCTGATTCTGTGGTGCTGGGCAAGCCAATTAACTAACCTCTCAGCACTGCAGGAAATTCTATAAGGCTCTAAGTTGCAGAGGGACTTTTGGTGCAGGGACTTTTCTTCATCCAGGAGTTCCCCTTATTAATGAACTCATAGGTCTCTATATCTTAGTTCTCATCTTCTCTTAACCATTCTTTGTATTTGAAGAATTTTCCTGCTCTAATCAGTTCAAAACACTGCAGAAAATGAAATAAAAATTGCTAGATTGCTGTTATGATAACAAACACCCTCAATCAGGAATTTTTAATTGGGTTTCCACCATACGTATACTTTCAAATAATTCTTCCTACCTTCATGGATATCCATAGATACCTACTGGCTCTTGAATCCCTAACTCACATAAAGTTTATTTGCATTTATTCATTTAACCTATCAATCAATAAACATTTATTAAGCACCTACTATGTGCCAGGTACTTTGCTAAGCATTGGGACACAAAAAGAAGCAAAAGACAGCCCCTACCTTCAAAGAGCATACAACCTGATGGGGGAGAAAACATGGAAACAAATACAAAGCAAAATATATAACAGGATAAATAGAAAAAATTAACAGAGGGGAGGCATTAGAATTAAGAGGGGTTGGGAAGATCTTCCTGAAAAAGATGGGATTTTAGTTGGGACTTAAAGAAGCCAGGGAAGTCAGTGGGAAGAGCTGAAGAAGTGCATTATGGGCATGGGAGATAATCAGAGAAAATGCCCAGAACCAAGAGATGGAGTGTCAGTTGTTTGTGAATCAAGACTCCAGTGTCACTGGATTGAAGAGTACATGGTGGAGAATAAGGTGTAAGAAGGCTGGAAAGGTAGGAGACTTAGGTTCAAATCCCCACAGTGAAACTTACTAGCTGCTGTGTGATAAACCTCAATTCCTCTAAGCCTCTTTCCCCATTTATAAATTTGAGATAATTCCATCTTCCCTGATTTGTTGTGAGATTCAAATCAGAAATTCTATCCAAAACTCTGTAAATGGCAAAGTATATTGGCAGTTTCAGCTACCACTATTTTTATTTCTTTTTTGATACTGCTAGCTGTGAGTAAAGTCTCTTCTGACCTATACATCCAAAACAGAATCAAAGAAGAAAAGGACCCACATTTACAATATTTATAGCAGTTATTTTTGTAGTGGCAAGGAACTGAAAACTAAAGGGGTGCCCATCCATTGGGGAATGGCTGAACAAATAAAGGTATATGATTATAATGGAAGACTCTTGTACTGTAAGAAATGAAGAAAAAGAGGATTTCAGGAAGACCTGCAAAGATCTGCATGACCTGATGCTGAGTCAGCAGAATGAGGAAAACAATTTATTCTATAACTATTGTAAAAATGAACAATTCTGAAAGACTTAACTCTCATCAACTAAATGATCAACCATAACTCCAGAAGACAGATGAATAAGAATGCTGCCCACCTCATGACAAAGATGAAGAACTAATAAATAGAATGAGAAACATGTTTTTTGGACTTCATGAATAGGTGTGGGGGTGTTTATTTTGCTGAACTATGTTTATATGAGTTCGGTATTTATTTTCAGGGGGTGGCAGAGGGTGGGAGGTAGGAAAAAAGTATGATCATTGAAAAAAATTATTTAAAAAATCTTTTAAGTCTAATATTTTAGTCTATTTGCAATGCTATCAGAATAAGAGATTATACACACACACACACACACACACAAATTATGTTGATGAGGCTAATATATGTTTTCTTATGTGCCTGTGGCATCCTGTTAAGCATATGATGGTCCTATTCCTTACTATTCAAGATATTTATATCTAAAATGAGAACACAGGCAGGCATTTATAAACATAAAATCTTTAATTTTATGAAAATAAAAATACGCTAAAGAAGTTGAATTCAGTTTTAAAGATGACTCAATCTAGAGATTTGTTGAGTTTTCTTGATCAAAAATTAATATCATCCAAAGCATATGGGATTAATGGAAGAATTCTTGTAGGTAGGAAGATAAAGTAACAATAGCACTTTAAAGGTTTTCAAAGCACTTAATAAATATTATTTGCACCTCACAATAGCCCTTGGTAGAGCTGTGTGACCTTCTCAGCCTGGAGTATTCCTGCCCCATTAGTGCCTATAGTGAGTTCTTTCTGGAGTTTCCATTTCACGGAGGGGCCCAGGCCTGGCTACCTTTATTCCCCCCCTACCATTGCCCTGACTTCCTGAACTTCAAAGCCAAAACTAATTTACATTTGTATTCATCTTGTCTCATCAAAGTACTGGGTCCACTGTATAAATACTGGGTGTTCCAAACATCTTACTATAGTTTTAAGTTTTAATATGTTTAAAAGTTTTAAGCTTTAATATGTTTAAGGCTTAATTAAGCTCTGCCTGCATGAAAACTTTTGGGACATCCTGTATATGATGGAATAAATAATACTTCTAAACTATAAAATAAATAATTGTAATATCTAAGAGTATCAATAAAATTATTTTAATTAATCTATTTTACATGTAACATAAATATTTATAGATGCTACATAAATTAAAAAGTTTTTTTTTACCTTTTTATAAAATGGTTGATCCCCTGGTGCTCTTGTTTTGAGAAATTCTTCACTATTGAACACTCTATGTTCATAATTAAGATGGTTTTTTACTTCTCTAATAAGAGAAAGTACATTATAAGTCATGAAACATCTTAAAATATATGAAACATATTAACAGAACAATAACTACCGAAAAATATATACTTTGCAAATATCTTCTTCAGAAAGTCAAGCCCTATCTCCCAGTGACATGGTTTAGATGACATTGGGTACTTGCTGTTTTCTAGTTGTTTCATGAACACAACATGGCCTTCTTACAAAAACAATAAGGTCATAAGCTCCTTCAAGGTAACGACTGCCCTTTTTTTTCTTAGTTCCCACTCTCATTTCAGAAGTAGGAAATCAATGAAGACTTATTTATTCAGTACATTTTAAGAAGGCAGAACTGACAGTCTTTTATATATATATCTTATACATTATAGAGTATACCAGAGGTGTCAAACTCCTGGCCTGCAGGCTGCAAGCCTCCCTCTAGCACTTCTAGAACCAGATTAAAATGTAATTGGGAAATATTTAACAAAAATACATAAAAATACAATACAACATAGATAATGTTAATTTGTGGTTTTCAAAGTCAACATGAGAACAGGGATTAGTTTCTGTTTGAGTTTGACACCACTGGAGTATACATTTAATCTACAGTTTCTTTTGCACAGAGGAAAATTATACAGCATGATTTTGGCTATTTGTGAATTAAGGAAAGCATCTAATTTAATTTAGTATTAATAATAGCTAGCATTTATGTAGGACCTTAAGGTCTACAAAGCATGAACATATGTTATCTCATTTAATCTCCACCAAAGACTAAGATTTTTGGTGATCTTCAGGGTTTTTTCCCAGGAGATTTCTCTGAGTTTTCTTTGAACTGTGACATGACTGAAACAAAGCCCCATTTTTAGCAATCCCAATATTTTAAATGTGTTCCCCTTCTTTTTAAAGATTCTAATTATAAAGTCATACTAGTTAAATACATTTCCACATTTCACTCTGGCTTTCTCAGCTCCTTGAAAATTAAGTCCTTCCTCACACACATATACGGATATATTGAGGAAAGTTAGAGCAGTGTAGGATAGTGGGAAGAATCCTAGATTTGGAGTCAGTAAGCCCTGGATTCCAGTCTTGGCTTGGCCACTCACTAGCCATGTGACTGTGAGTCAAGTTTCCTCATCTGTAAAAGGGGTAATAGCTCTACAATTTCCCTCAAAGGAATTTAGTCATAAACAATTTATGATCAAGAAAGTTCTATACAATATGAACTAAAGATCAAACACTTATACATGAAGATATGCTAAAAAAAGCTTCTCTCATTTAATTTCTCTAAATTTTTGCATTAACTTAATTTATAAAATAAATACTATTTAAAAGTTTTGCTCCTTCAGAGAACAACCAAAAAAAAAATACATGAGAAATGGACTAAAACTTGAATTGTAAGTATATTTGGGAATCAGAAACAGCATGAACTGTCTAAGCTGAAGAGTCAATTTTTTTTGCCATAATAATGAATCATTTTTTGGTTCAAAGAAATAAATGCATAGTCAGTCAATAAACTAACATCTGTCATGAATCTACTATGTGTCAGGCACTGCACTCAGTGACAAATAATGCATAGCGAGCAAAGGTTAGCAAAAGTTACATGATGATAATCATTTTGGGTATTTTGAAGTAAGAAACCTCTACTGTAGCATCCAGAGAAGTGACAGATCCCTCCTGGAACAGGACACAAAGTGACAGCAGGAGCTATCAGGACAGAGTACATCAAAGAGCCTGTTTTTCTCTGCTAGAGGACTCTGGTGGATGAGAAAGCATTACAGAATGAGAAAAGGAAGTTCTGGAAAAGAAAAGGAAGAACAGAGAGTTGGAAAAACGAGAGACCCTAAATTCTCTGGCAAAAATCAATCGGATTGAAAAAAATATTTCCAATCAATATTTAGATTGCATCACTTTATCAAGTATTTAGCATGCTTTTCTTTATAGGGTATAAATTGAACATCAGAAAGAACAGCTGCCGGATCCCTGTACTGGCCCAACAATGATCCCTGTAATGACTGATCATCTTAAAATAACTCTGCTTTACTAAATTTACCTTAGTACTATGTACCTAATGGAAACTCAGATTCTTGATGATAATCATCAAAGAAGAGAAACACAAAAAATATTCGCAACAACAATGAAGCAGGAAAATGTTAATTCATAGGACTACAGTCGACTCAAATTTCAGGGTTGGCTTATCCAGTTTTAGAATCACGTGTAATTTTTGCTTCTTCACCTGTTGACTGTCAATTATTAGTTAGACCAATTAATTGACTATTAGTCCCTCTGCCCTCCACTGCAGTCCTCCTCCAATGTTTTCCCCAGTGACAGGAAAGCGACCCTACGGTAAATTCTTGAAGGCTGTGTCCATGAAGCACAAGTCCTAACAGTTCCTACACCAAACTGGAAAAGCTTCAAAAGTGCAGCTCCAGCAGCTAAGACATGGAAGGTTTGTCTGCCCTAGTAAAGGGAATATCCACACTGATGAAATAAATCATGGATATTTTTAAGAATCCAGGAAGCATTCTATCAATGCACACAGTGAGAAAAGGGCAAAATGCCACCCAGTTTTGTTAACACTTAACATTCATACTCAAAAGACCTGGTGAAGAAGAGATATGAAATTCATAACTAAAATGAGTTTCCCTGACAACTGACAGCTTTAATTTAACCACAATCCCTCATTATCATGTACAATTGAAAACAGGATGTAATTACATAGTTTTTGTAAATGACTCAGTTATAAGTGCATACCTGAAGATGTTAACAATTAGTTGTAAAGTAATTTGCTGCATTTCAGAATTCTGTTTTTGTTGCCATGCCCTTCTGCGTGCTTGGACCTCACCTAAATCTGTGCTGGCCATTAGATGGGAGAGTTCTAGATCATAGTGCAACTGAAGGCCTTCTACCCTAGAAGAAAAAAGGAGATTTTTTTGAATAACATCACATTTTTAAAAATAATACTTTATTTTTCCCCAATTACACATAAAATAATTTTTAAATTCATTGTTTTTTTTTTAAGCTTTGAGTTCCAAATTCTATCCTTCCCTTCCTCCCTCCCCTCCCCACTCCCTGAGATGGTAAACAATCTGATATAGGCTATACACGTGCAATCATGTAAAACATTTCCAATTAGTCATTTTGTGGAAGAAAGAATGAAAGGAAGAAAGGAAGGAAGGAAGCAAGGAAAGAAAAATAGTATGCTTCAGTCAGTATTCAGATGCCATCTGCTCTTTCTCTGGAGGCAGACAGCATTTTTCATCACGAGTCCTATGGGCTTGTCTTGGATCATCATATTGCTGAGAAAAGCTAAGTCATTCACAGTTGGAGAACGTTACATTTTAATAATAATTAACATTGCATTTAATAGTAGCATTCTCTCTATTAAAGTCAGATAACTATTAAACTATTAAATGTAGACAAATCAGAAAGGCATGGAGAAGGCTCTCAGTTTTCAAAGGTGCATTCATTCTGGTGGATCCAAACAAAGTAAAAACAAGGCCCTGGTAATGGTGCATCTCTGCTTTCCAGTTTAAGTTTAAAGAGGTTTATCATCAAGTTTGTCACAAGGTGATTAATTTTTTGGCATAGCAACTCTTGAAGACCATCTACTGTATTATATAGGGACTTCAATTAATGTAAAGAGTTCTCATAATCAACATTTTCAAATTCTTAAAGTAGTAAAGAAATATTTTTATTGACTGCGTTGATCTTGTTTAACCATTTTACAAACGTATTAAATTCCTGTTATGAATAACACTACTATTTCTTGGGAGACAAACTTTCTGCCCTCAAAAGAGTTTACAATCTAATAATGGCAATATGGCCTTCTCTGGAAGCAAACGGTTTACTTTCCAAATGTAAATTAGCTATTCTGGTATATCTGAGGGTCATTCAAGGTATGGATGAAGAGGGGGAAATCACTAAAGGAGTTCATTCCCTTTCAAAAATGAACAAATTTACTTTTACAATGTGGATTGCTTATTATAGAATCTTCATTTATAAAATGGGGTTAGGTTTAAGCAACCTTTAAGGTTTCCTCCAGTTCTGAAATTCTGTGATGGTGATTCAACAACTTAATTGTCAAAGCAAAGACATCCCCCCTAAAAATTAATTTTTTAACCAAGCTAAATACTCTTTTGTTGACCAAAAAAGTTAACTTTAGATATTGGCTATAATAATGTTGTTGATGATGAAGAGGAGGAGAAGGAGGAAGAACAGGACTAATAAATATTCTCAAAGCAAATGAGAAAAAAGGAGCTATAAGATGCCTTTCCTTTTGCCTAGGCTACCTGCATCCCAGCCCAGTTTTTATGTAGAGGGACCCATAAGTCCACGAAAAGCCTTTTCCTGCCCTCCCCTAACCTTCTTGCCAATTCTCCCATTCCCTTTCTCCTCCTGACTGTCTGCTGACCTTCCATCTCCACACCTGTGGGAAAGAACCCAGAGTCCCTACTCTATTCCAGCTTATGGGTCCACTCCTCCAGATCCCTTGCCATATGGATATAATCCTCAAATCACTTGGATGAGCATGGAGGCACCCACTTACAGTAAGATGGAAGACCATTTGGCGTTAACATTTGCCCTGTTACTGTGCCCTAAGGTCTACCACACCTTACTACCTCATACCCATCAATAAAGATGACAAAAGAGGAAAATGATAAATGTTGGAGAGGTTATAGGAAAACAGGCACAATAATCCATTGCTGGTGGAGCTGTGAATTGTCACAGTCATTCTTGAAAGCAATTTTGGAATTATGCTGCAAAAGTCAGTAAATTGTGCATATCCTTGACTCAGTAGTGAGAGTACTACTAAGTATATACACAAGAGAGATTTTTAAAAAGACACAAAAATCCATGTATGCAAAAATATTTATAGTAACTCTTCTCATAGTAGCCCCAAACTGGAAACTAAAGGACTACCTCCCTATTTGGGAATGACTCAACAAATTATGACATATGAATATAACAGAATATTATTGCCCCATAAGAAATGACAAAATCAACAGTTTCTAAGGAAACTGGGAAAACTCATATGAACTAATGCAGAGTGAAGTAAGCATAATTAGTATAACAATTTCTATAATGGCAACAAAACTATACAGAAAAGTAGCTTTAAAGGACTTTAAAATTATGATCAGTACAACTGCAAACCATGATGGTTCAAAGATGAAGCACACCACCCACCTCCTTACATTGAGGTGATGACCTTAAAATGCAAAGTGAGACATAGATTTTGAAATGTGGGCAATGTGGGAATTTGTTTGATATGCATGCTTGTTATGAGGGTTTCATTTGTCTGTTTAAAAATTGTTCAATAGGGGAAAGAGAAAAATAAATGCTTGTTAGTTGGAAAAAATAATAAAATTAAATTTGGGGGAAAACTTGAACACTTGTAAAACACTTAGAAAAACATGATCAAGTGAGCAGAATTATATAACAGAAGTATTTGATTCTTCATAATCCAACAGAGGACATATCACTGAACTACATATACAAACCTCAAAATCTCCTTGAGAATTTAACAAAAAAATTGTACTATAACCAGTGCATTATCAAATATAAAATTTTTCACCTATAATTGCTCAAGCATAATTGTGATCCACAAACATCTAAGAATGACGTTTTTGGAAAGATGTTTTGAACATCTTCAATGTTTTAAACTTATAATATCCAAATCATGCAGAATGGAAATCTTTCAAAGTATTGGGAGCCAATGGCAGTAATAAGAACCAAGTAAGAAGAGAAAGTAGTTCTCATTCATGTTCTTCTATCTGCTACTTCAATTATCCCTAAAAGACTTTTAGTGAGTTTACAGAAATTAGCCATGAGACTACTACTTTCATTCTATTATAAAAACCAATTATTTTATCTACCTATAGAATAGTTTCACCAAGCACTAGACTTAAAAGAATGGTAGATAGTGACTTATCCTAGGACTATTTCTGAGGACCATCAAGCTGAAAGATTAGACGAATGAAGTTAATAATAATAATAATAATAATAATCAGATTGGTGGTAAGTGTGTATATAGTTGGATGGAGGGTCAAGAAGGCCTATTTCCAAGTCTTGTCTCAAAACAATGGGACCCTGGACAAGCCAATTAACCTTATAGTTCCACTGAGAATTCACAAGGCTAAAGGCTGCAGAAAAATTGTCCATATGCATTGGTAGAAGGAATGTCCTCACAGGGAGTTCCTTATACCAATGAAATCATAGGTCTGAACCAAATAATATTAACTAATCTTTTTACATGTCATAATAGTATGCATACATAACCCCATCTTCTACAGGAAGCCTTTCCCAACTCCTCTTAATTCCAGTCCCTTCTCTCTGTTAATTATTTCCTATATACAGCTTGTTTGTATAGATTTGTTTGCCTGTGGTCTCTCCCATTAGATTATAAGTTTCTTGAGGGCAGGGATTGCCTTTTGCTTCTTTTTGTATTACTAGCACTTAGCACAGCCCCTGCTACATAGAAGGTGCTAAATAAATGTTTATTGACTTACTGACAAGTAATATCACATTATGTATATTTATATATCAGACACTTAATATCTGCCAGATAATATACAGGGAGTAACAGAAAATGGAAGGCACATATATTAAAAAGGTATACGTGCATTTGTTTACTAATCTCTTTTAAAATTATATAGAGTTTTATACTTTTCAAATAATTTTCATATTCACTATCTCCCTTTTCACAACAACCCCATGGGTTAAGTAGGTCAAGGATTATTTTTGCACTTTCAAAGATAAGCACAAAAAGATACATGATATACTTAACGTCATACCATACATTAATAGTAGGTCCAGGAAAAGAACACAAGTCCCCTAAGTTCTAGTTCAGTGAGACTTTCCATCGTACCCCCTGACTTTTGTAGTATCATGGGCAGGTAACTGGTACCCCTCATTGGCAATTCTTTCTATAGTGCAACTTTGGGAGACAAAAAGCTGTCCACAGCAGCCATCTTGGAATTTTGCTGCTGATGGGGATCCATTTTGTGTTATGTCTTTTCATTCATTGCTAATGTCAGATAATGTTCTTCAAACAGCTAAATGTATTATGTATACTATATAGTACATAAAGCATGTTTTCACTACCAATTCTCGTGATTAATGGTAACAGATAGATACTTCATTGTGCTTTTAGTGACTGCTTGCATTATTTATCAGAACATCTGACAAGCTGGCCACAGAAAACGGAATTAGCCTTTGAATGTTTTCCACACAAGGAACCTGTGATAACATTAGTGTAGGTTAAGGCTGACAAAAGGGCCCATAAAAAAATCAGTCAGCCAGATAATTCAGAAATAGCATTGGGTTTTAAAAAATTAAACCCTTCAAATTGAATAAAACCATAAGAAAGAGCCCCCGAATCAATATTTTTAAATGGTGATATTATAGACAGTAATATTTAAACCCTGGTACACAGAATTTAGAAAGTGAAACTTAATTCATAATCAAACAGGAAAAGGGAACAGGGCAGTACACATCAAAGAGCCTTCCTGGGAATGTTGATAGTACTAGAGTCTAAATCTTTTCTAACAAAATCTCCTTCTCCTCCTGTCCCCCATAAACATAGGCACCTACTACAAGTAAGGCACATTTAGAAATTCATTCAATACATGCTAAGGGGCTACCCTGTATAAAGCACTGTGCTAGGCACTAAGATGAAAATGCCATCATCTACTGTCAAGAAACTTAAAATTTAGTAGGAGATTTACAAAACATATAGCTGTAACACAAGGTTCAAAACAGAATGTAGGAATTGGGTTAGAAAGGCACAAGCAAAGAAATCCGTCCTCTTCAGAAGAAGAGGTAGTGACTGAATGGTCACTGTGAGCTAGAAAAGCTTCATGGAAGAAGCAGTATTTCAGCTGGGCTTTGAATGACCAGTAGCATTTCAAGATTTGAAGGAGGTATGGAGGGAAGAAGAAGGTGAGTTCTAGGCAGAGAAAACAACATAACCAAAGACACAGGGGTTAGGAAGAGCTAGAAAGGACAAGACGAGAGGAGTGAGTTTGGTGAGGACCGAGAACAGAAGTAGATAAATACTAGGAGATAAGATTAAGTTAGTGTCAAACTACCGAATGACATGAAAAGTTTTTACTTTTATTTTGAAAGCAATGGAAAGCCATTCATGATCAAAATGACATTTTGGGAAGATCACTGTGCCAAAATGTCCAAGATGAATTGGAAGGGGAATAGCTGAAGGAAGGGAGACCTGAAGGATAGGACTGAAACAGCCCAGGTTCAAGAGGTATGAGATCTAAAGTAGGGTGGCAGCAACAGGTATTAATAGAAAGTAGGTGTAAGAACCTTTGGGAAGGAACAAAGGCTCTAATTATTGACAGGATGTTACAAGGGGGTTTGAGGGAGGAGGCAAACATGATTCTAGTTTTGCATCTATAGGTAAATAGGGAAATGGTGGTACCATTGAGGGAAATAATAAGGAAGGGCTAGTTTTAGAGAGAGATGAGAAGTTCAATGTTAGCCATGTTAGATTTGAGTTAAGAGATGAGGCAACCAGGCAGAATCAGCCAACTGGAGAATGGGAATACAAGACTAGCTAAAGCTTTGAAAACATGTTAGAACTATAGAGATGGAAAGATACTCATCTTTTCTGACCAGTAAGGAACAATTTAGTGCTAAATACTATACCAAATACTTTGAACTTTAGACCAACATTTAGAATTCTAGAAAAAAAAATTAGAATTTTTCACAAATTAAAAATAAAAACTAGTAATCCATGAATTCAGAAAACATACCCCAAAGCATATGACCACATAGCCTAAAATTAAAAAAAAAATTAAGTTTTCAAATAGAACATTACCCACTTTTACCTTTGAATGAATGTCTGGGCAGCTTGTAAAGGGATGTCTGGAATATCAATATCATTATTATCATCATCCAAGGCTTTGGAATAGGTAATGTTTCCACTGTCAATATTTATTAGGATTAAGCCATCTGCTTCCTTTTAAATAAGTATTAAAATCAAAGGTTATTTTATAATGAAATATTTTCATATAAAACCTTGAACATTCAAATATAATACATTTTGCTGTCAAGAATTTAATTTTATCAATGTACTTTGGTAAGATAAAATTTCAGTAATTTAACTACCTTTCATTTATAGGCTTTTGCAGATCTGACATTTCTTCCATGAAAAGTTAATAATATATCAGAAGCTGTTGATAACAACAGTTAACACAACTGAACTCCCTTCCTTCTTCTCCTCTGAACTGGGAGAAAAGATACTAATAAATGTTTGTGGAAGATTTTTTTAACCTGTTCAAATCCTATAATCTTATCCACCAAATCCAGCCAAGTGCATTTTTGATAACCTGAAATGCATTTAATTCTTTTTTGTCACTAGGATCTTTGCAACTGATGTCTAAATTAGCAGAAAGTCCTTCTTGCCAATACCCAAGCCCTCCTTTCATCTTTATGGATGTGGAAAACAAACAAGTATAGTATAGGGGCAGAGTCCTAATGTAGATTAAGATAGAGCAAATAATTTTATTTTAAAAGATCTGTATTGTTTTTACATTAAAAAATCAGTGAGAATCATTGGTAAATACAAGCCTATACTTGCTCACTTCTTATTTCTATACTCCCTAAAAGTCAATTATATAAATATTAGAGAGATCTACAAATTAAATAGTTTGTAGTACATAGCTCCATATTCTTTTTAAAGTTTTAAAATGTTTAGAATCATTCTGGTTCAGCAGTCTTGAATAAGGCTATGTTTTCATATGATATATACATTAGCTTTAAATCCCAGTTCTTTTTCTGGCCTCGCAGTTCTTGGAAGTAAAATAAAATATAAATCTGAAAGCTAAATAGAGGTGTCTTTTGTCTTACTGGTGGAGGTGGGGGTGGGAGGAACCACACATAAATATTTAGATATTGTAAATATCTCTAAGATGCTGTTGGAATTCGACTTGGTTCCTTCCCCTGGCACGAGAATACTGGTGAATAAAATCAGAGAACCAAATTCAGAACTCTGTTAGCTAAAACATTTGTCTTCAGTTCTGAAAGTTTCCAGAGTCATAATATGTGTAAGAGCCTTCTACTAATGGGATTTACTTAACTACAGCCAGCTGGAAAAAACTGTCAGTAAAAAAGCCAAAAAACTGTCAGTAAAAAAGCCTTCCCTTTTGAAAATTCTGGAGACAGGGTTTTGCTCACTGAGGGCTAAAAATAGAAACAACACATTAATACTATGATGTGTTTTTTTTTTCCCCCTTTACTACCCGGACTAGATGACGTCTTTTAGTTTCTTCCATTAGTATTTGAATAGCCTTTTCTTGATGCCTAATTTTTTTTTCCTGGTGAATCATACATTTCAGCATCAACACTTAACTCCACCCAATTATCCCAATCACTCATATCCTTAAGTATGATTAGCACTAGACACACCTCCTATGGTCACTGCTGGCTGGTAAAAGCACTTTAAAAAATGACTTCACACCTATGCTACCTTACCAATCCCAGTAGATTAAAAAAAATAATGACTCATACTTACATGGTGGTTTTTTTTTTTAAGGCAATTGGGGTTAAGTGACTTGCCCAGGGTTACACAGCTAGTGTCAGGTGTTTGGTCTGAGGCAGGATTTGAACTCAGGTCCTCCTGACTTCAGGGCCAATGCTCTATCCACTGCGACACCTAGCTGCCCCTTACATGGTGTTTTTAAGTGTAATAAAAGCACTTTCCCCACAAAAACCATGCAAGAATATATTACCTTACAAATGAGGAAATTGAAGCTCAAAGAGGTTAGCTGATTTTTTTTCCCCATGGCTATACAAATTAATAAGTATAGCACTAGAATTCCAACTCAGGTCTCCTGACTCCTTGTCAAATGCTCTGATGTCAGACTGCCTGCTCCTCCAAGTTACCTTTTCTCCCATTTAGGGTAATGTGTGCTCTAACTGAATCCCATGACCTGCTGTGGAGGCTGTCTGCAGTGAAATATAAAAACATAACCTGTCACATACTAAAATATGCTACAGAACATTCATTTTTAAACAATTCTTTTTTTATTTTTGGTTTGTTTGTTGGCTAGGCAATGGGGTTAAGTGACTTGTCCAGGGTCACACAGCTAGTGTCATATGTCTGAGGCCAGATTTGAACTCAGGTCCTCCAGACTCCAGGGTCAGTGCTCTATCCACTGCACCACCTAGCTGCCTCTATTTTTAAAGAATTCTTTATCAGGAAATAAGTAACTTGAGTAAAACTTGGAATGTTATATATTGAAGTGAATATAAATAGATTTAAAATGTATGTATCATAACACTACTGGGCTGTCAAATAAAAGCAAAAAAATAGGGTTTGATTGATAGAGGCATAATTGATTTACATTACTACATGCCCTCATTACTATGTCTGACTATATTACAATCAGTTTCTGTAATACAAAGGGGTAACATTTTTGTCCACATGTCTAAAATTAATTGTTTTGAAGATATGTTTAAATTAACCTGACTAGATGATGATCTTCCCTCCCCGCCCCAAAGCATCTGTCTTCTGAAGAGTTTGGCATCCTTTCAAGTATATTATCATTAACTCATGAGTCCTAACAACATTGTTCTCAGTAGTTAAAAGATATAGTCAGATATTCTATTACTCACCTTGCTAACTTCTTCAAAGTGATCAAGATGACAACCCATAAGGAAAGACGTAGGCGCCATTACAAAGTCTAGCATCTGACTGGAAAGGATGGGTACAAAGGTGTGCTTCCACTGAATAGGGTGAAGGTAAAGCATAAAGCACTCAGCAATGAGTGTGAGTAAAGCCCAGTCCGAAGAGAAGAAGACAATCCGCTGTTCAGTTAAAATGCAGGTTATGATCTAGGGGAAGAAAAATAGTTTTGAGAATCTACTCATTCACTGATGAAATTCTTAGATGGAGCTATTTTCATTGGCTGTTCCCCATGCCTGGAATGTTCTTCCTTTAAAATCCCACTAAAATCCTACCTTCTACAAGAAGACTTTCCCAATCCCCCTTAATGTAAGTGTCTTTCCTCTGCTGATTATTTCTAATTTATCTGATCTCTTATTTGTACAAACTTGTTTTTGTGTTGTTCCCCCATTAGACTGTGAGTTCTTTGAGAACGTGGACAGTTTTTTGCCTTTCTTTCTATCTCCAAGCACAGTGCCTGGCATAGAAGGTGCTTAATATATGCTTGCTGAACTTATTTTATGTAAATGCAAGGCATTTGACAAAAATAGCACCCTGTAAATATCTGTCAAATAAGTACAGGCTATATCCTAATACTTTGTGACAAGGATACCATTAAAGACCCCTATTTACATATTACATTTTAAACAAAAGAAGCCTAGAAATGTAAGATGCTGAACAAATCACCAAGATAGGGAATAGCCTGTTTATTATGGACAAGCAAGATATAAACTTTTCATAGAATTACACGATCTTAAGAGGTGGGAGGGACTTCAGATGTCATTTAATCCAACCTGTCTCTGAAAAAAAATACTCTCTACAGCAGTGGTTCTCAAAATTTATGGTTTCAGGATTTCCTTGAACTCTTAAAAACGATTCAGGATCTCCAAAGACCTTCTGTTTATACAATATTATTTTAACCATATTAGACTATAACCATGTTAGAAATTAACCAATATTTATTAAAACATATTAGTATTATTATGAAAATCGTTTTGACCTTGTAGACCCCCTGAATGGGTCTTAGGGACACACTTTTGAGACACACTGCAATACAACATCCTCAACAAGTATTCAACAGCCTTTGCTGGATTTGGAATAATAGCTAATATTTATACAGTGCTTTGAGGTTTGCAAAGTACTTTACAAATATCTCATTTGATCTTCGCAACAACCCCGAAAAGTAGATACTAGGGAATAATAATCCCTGCTTTACATAGGAGGAAACTGAGGCAGACAGAGGTTAAGTGACTCATCTAGGATCATACCACTAGTAAGTGTCTGAGTCAGGATTTGAACTCTGGTCTTCCTGATCCCAGGTCCAGGGCTCTCTAACCATTGTGCCACCTAGCTGCCTATATATATTCCTAGCTCCTAAGGCAGTCTATTTCCTTTCTAGATAATTCTAATTATTTGGAATTCTTTCCTCACATCAAAATATAACCCACCTCCCTACAACTTCCTTTCATTAGTTTAAATTTTGCCCCTGAACCTCATATAAAACCCATCTAATCTCTCTCCACACAAAGGCCTTTCAAATACTTGAAGATAACCATCTTCTCTAGACTAAGTATCTCCAGTTATTGCACCCTGGTCTTTTTTGGTTTGGTTCAGTTGGATCAGGGATACTCTCTTGATCTGCCTGAGTTCTACGATCAGTTTTCAGATGGCAGACAAGAGCAATACCTCCTAGGTCAAGGTTCTAGTTGCAGACAACCATTTTTCTTGCTCATCCCCCAGCACTGAAGAATACAAGTGACCTTCCTCCATTCCTTCCAGTCATAACAATAATATTGTAAAGCTCACTGGCAGGCACAAATGAGCGAGGACATTTCTATCTACAAATACATTTTAAGACAATTGCATGGCTGCTAAAAATGCTTAAAATAGGGTTTTAAAATAAGGTATTAATACAAAGATAAATATCCACCTTTGGTTCTGGTTTCCATTGAGTGTCATACCACATAGCTGACATCAAAACTCTATGTCAAAGTATCAACTACCTTATGGTCCTGATTAGGAACACTTCTAGACCTAAAATGCTATGAGTCTAATTAATAATTAAGCTTTACTATTATCAGCTCTAACCACTCTTTGAATCCCCCCCATTCCAAAACTCCTCTTCTGGAAGTTTCTAATAGTGATAATACTAGAATCACGGGATTTAAAGTTGGGGCCTCAGAATTTCATCCAGTCCAAGTGGATGAGGATTCATTCACAGATGAGGAAACTGAGGCCCAGAGAGGTTAAATAATACAACTGCAATTTTGATGCTGCATTAAATGAATGAGAATGGTATTTGGCTGACATTAAAAGATGCTTACCTGTAATACCTTCTCAGGTTTGAAGCACAGTAAGGGAAGGTGAAGGTCTAGGTCTACAATGGGACTGTCAGGATCCGCACGGGAAGGAAACACTACTTGTAGTGGCTTCATGTTAAATACCTGGGAAAACCAATATTAAGGTTTAACACTGATGCTATGACTCAGTAGATTCTTAATGATAATCACGACAGGTTAAAAATAATAAATCAAGAAAATCTAAAGCAACATCATCTCACTAATCTACTGGTAGGGAGGGAGGAGAGTCTGCATGAGAAGATATTTCTGGGGCAGCTAGGTGGAGCAGTGGATAGAGCACTGGCCCTGTAGACTTGAACCTGTAGAGTTCAAGCCTCAGACACTTACTAACTGTGTGATCCTGGGCAAGTCACTTAACCCTAATGGCCTCGCACACACACACACAAAAAAAACTTCTAAAAAAAATACTCACAATGCTATTGTATTATGTTCATGTTATAACCCCCATTAAAATGTTAGCTCCTTAAGAACAAAAATGATTTTCTTTTCTTGTATTCCTGGCACTTAGCAAAGTGCCTGGCACAAAGTAAACACTCAATAAATGATTGTCAGTCAATTGGGTGACTTAAGCACATGAATTAATTCAAACTAGGCTAACTAATATGTCACCACATAGAAGTCTTTGAAAACCTGCTCTAATAGGTAAAGATGATTTATAAATGCCATATCAATTGTTGGCATGCAAAAGAATTCTCCTAAAGCACTTAAAAACTCTTTTGCCTCTTAAAAGGTTGAGTATGCTCTATAAATATTTACATTTTATTCATTTGCTTAGCAAATCCTTTGTCGCATAGTGAGAGCAAAAGTAAACTTCAGATTAGCTGCTTGTCCAAATTATCACAAAATGAGTGAAGTCCAAATTTATCAAATTACTATTCCTAAAGTATTTCAGTTATAGTTTTGTCATTTAACATTTCTTGAAAACATACTCTACAAAAAATGCTCTAAGAATGAAAATGTGATGCGCTGTAGAAATGTTTACAAATGTCAAAACAAAGGTCAAAAAGCTAATTGTTAATTCATCTGACAGAGATGAGAGGTAGGTTGCCTGATGAAGTCCAATTTCACTTTAGAAAACTTCAACTAGGAACAGCTGAGTAACTAATTCAGTTACGGCACAGCAGGAACAACTATATCAAGGAGGGTTCCCCAATAACGCTGTATTCAGAATCTTTTTTTGTTTTTATCAAGTATCTGCCATCAGAGAAACAAAGAATTCTAAAGATGAAACAAAGCAAAATACTACCAGGTATGGCCTATCAATGGTTAATCACAAAGGCTGTGTGGAAAACGATCCTTGCAGGTGAGAAGAAAAGTTCCTGAAGAGTTTTCCACACAAAACAAATTATGATGCCCAATGGGAGATACCAGCTAACTTCTTCCCAAATTCTTTTTGATAGCCTTTGGCAAGCCTACATTCTCGATTTAAACCTCACAATGTTAGCAAGCACAACGGCACTCCCCTTGGTTATATTTATCAGGAATCTAAGATGAACTTAAAATATGCATGTGACTCCTTTTTTGGAAGCTATGTTTTGATTTCAGTCGAATGTTGTTTAGAAAAAAATCAACCAACGATAAACATGGAAAGATTTTATACTCTGTTCTTTTCAGTCAACTGAGTAATCAGTTTAAGGTGGAAAAAAAGAACAAAGAATGCTACAGAAAATTGTTACAAGCATGCTAGTTAACCTTCTCATATTTTCATCAAGGTTGTCTTCAGTATACGTGCAGATCATTTTCATAATGATTTTATAAGTTATCTGCTACTGTTGTATAGGACTGGTCTGTCCCTTTCATTTACAGATTATATTGGGGACAAACCTGGGGATTGATACTGACCACATCAACTTCCAGAACATTTCAGGGCTTCTTCATTGAGATATGTTATTTTTTCAGTCAGTCAAATAAGCATTTATTAAGTGCTTACTACATGCCAAGCATTGTGCTAAGTACTGAGACTACCAAAAAACCCTCAAGGAGCATACATTCCAATGAGAGAGACAACATCGAAATAACCAGGTCCATATAGGATGAATAAAGATGGAAAGAAATAGATCCATGCTAAAGAGATAGATACAATAATCCATAAAGAAAAAATTTGATGAATAATGCTTATTTTTCAAATTTCTGATAGAGTTGGATGCCCAGTTCATTAAATTAGAGTGTGTGTGTGTGTGTGTGTGTGTGTGTGTGTGTGTGTGTATTTAGGACACTATAGATGGACAGTGAATTGGGCTCAGTTGAATAAGAACAAGCTAGATTGTATTCAGGAAATTGTGCAGTGTTTCCAATGATTCCAAGCTGATCCCTGGTCCAAAAATCTATCTTTTTTAATGCAAATGTTCTGGAATTGCTTTCTAGCTGTTAATTCTGGAATATGTTAATCACTATAGAATTGAAAAAGTCATGAGTAATACAAGGGGAAGTGGAATGATATATGATAGGCATACTTCTAAAGATGATTTACATACAAGATGCAGCCAGGAGATGCTGACTAGGAAATACTAGATGGGATAATTATGTAGGCCAGCCATGTGCCAATAGTAAAGGAGATGAATGCCCAGAGCATGGCCCTTGGAATCATGTAATGTGAAAAAAACAAAAACAAAACAACTTGGAGGAAGGCCTCAAGTACATTGGGTAGATGGATCCTCTTTGGAGGACCTATGGCACATATAATATGAAAAATCACTGCATGGATGAGTTGTCAACTGCACAAATAGAGGAAATAAATAATAGTGAATGGCTAGAACTTCAAGCTTGCCAAAGTGCTTTACACATGCAAGCTCACTGGATCACTGAAATCACAAATTCAATGAGATAATGAAGACATAACCCATGTTTCAAATGACCACACTAGATTTTAGTTCATCAATGGAAAGGGCCTCCGGCTAGAACCAAAGGGCCTACTAAAGCATTTTCTCACTAAGTTCCTGGGGTTCTAGATCCACTTGTGACGCTGATAAAAGTGTGTGATCTTGGGCAAATCACTTAACTTCTCTAAAATTACCCATTTTTCTGGAATGAAAGAATTTTGAAACTGGACAGAGACCTTAGAGATCACTTAGTCCAACTTTTCATTTTACAGATGGAAAACACTAGGACCCCAAGAGATAAAGTCAAAAGTTCTTCTGACTTTCTCAAGCCAAAGATAGGGGTCTCGACACATCTCTCAATAAGTGGCTAGTCACGAATCACAACCAGAATCTGAGTCTCCAGGCTCCCAAATCATGATTGTCATTGCTTCACAATCATGATCAATTATCATTAACATACATCTCTACAGAGGTGCTATCAAGATTTTTGGATGAGAGAATGCTAGACCAATCAACTTTTATGGCATTCATTTAGGTATTCATTAACAGATTTTTTTTCTTCACAATTTTACCCTCCTGACATTGCTTCAAGTAATGCTAAAACATGTCCTCATTCCTGAGAGGTGATGTGCAATACTGAAAAGAGTGTGAAAAACCACACTCTGGTTCAGATACTTTCTAGCTGTGTGAGCAACAGTAAAACATGGTGTGCCTCAAAAGTCTTAGTGCAGTTTTAAACTTAATAGCTTATGTGCGTTATTAATAAACTTTAATAGCATAACACAGCATTAAAACTTTTGAGATACCCGGTATGAATTTCCTCATCTATGAGTATAATCCTTGCACGAAACACATTACAAGGTTGCTATGAGGAAACAGCTTAGTAACTTAGAAGGAAAAAAATATAGGATTACAGATTTGGAAAAGACTTTGAGAGATTATGTAGTACAGGAAGTCTTAACCTGGGTTCTGCAAACTTAAAAAAAATTCTGATAACTGTATTTTGATATAATTGGTTTCCTTTGTAATTCTATGTATTTTAGGCATTTAAAAACATTATTCTAAGAAGTTCATAGGCTTCACCAGACTGTCACAAAAAAAGATTCAGAATCTTTTGACCTAGTCCAATCTCATCATTTTACAGTTGAAGAAACTAAGGCCCAGAAAGTTTAACTGAGTTGCACAAGTTTACATAGCTAAAAGACTGCCTAAGAGCCTGAACTCAAGCATCATTCTGACACAAAATCCAATGTTCTTTCAATACATGCACTGTATGTTCCCTCCCTGCTAAGAACCATTAATTTGTCATTAATACAGCATGGGTCACATTTCCAACAATTTTTTCATGCAGACTTCATCTTCCGAAATGGCACACCAAGCAAGGTTTAAGTATAGTCCTTGTAAGTGTTTAAAACAAAACATTTAATTTATCTGAACATATCTAGTTCATGAAGTGCAAGGTTAGATTGCAATAGGTGAGATGGTATGCCAGGTATCATAAAAGGATTGTTAATTCTTTAGCTAATTACCAGATGGAGCGGTCCAGGTGGAGGACTGGGGATTAAAGACAATTTTGCAGCAAAATCTTTTATTCGCTCATCAACATCAAAATCCTTACAAAGTTTCAGTTGTGCCAATAAACTGAAAGAAAATAGCCATTTTTGTTAATTTAGTGAGGATAAAAAACTAAAATCAAACACTCCTGGTTAATATCAATTATATACCATGGCCTAAATTTTAACATAATGTTATCATCTGAAAAAATTATATGCCTTATCCTAACTGCATGTCTCAGAAGAAAATTATCAAGAAAATTTACTTAAGGTTTTATTTTAATACCTCCATGCACAAAAAGCTAAAATTTTTACTACTAACAAGGAATGCAATTTTAAAATGATTATGGCCTAAGAAGGAAGCTTTTCAAAAAGTAACTAAAATAAGACATTACAATTTAATAATAAATGGTGATAAAGGATAATAGTCACTCTAGACTTTTTTCAGATGACTCCTCCTTACACACTCAATCCTCCAGCCAAATCAAACTACCTGCTGTTCCCCCAAATCTGAATTCTATCTCTCACCTCTGTGTCTGTTCTGCTGGCCTAGAAGAAACCCTGCCTTTTTTAAACCTGTAGGTTTATTCAAGACCCAATTCAGATGCTTCCTCTTAGAGGAAGCTTTGCCTGATCCTCAGAGTGCAAATTACATTTATTAGTCTGTATAAATGCTGTCCTCCTCCCCTTTCCCCCAACAGAATATAAGCTCATCCAGCAAACACTATTTTTCATTGTCCCCAGCAGAGAGGATAGTGCTTTGCGCACAGTAGGTACTTAACAAACACTTGCTGAATGAAGACTCTTAATTACAAAATGACCATAACCACATTATGGCTGCCACATGACAGTTATGACTCACTTGAGGTTTGCAAAATTATGGTCTAGCCACATCTTCTTCACCTTGTATTTATGAAATTAGTTTTCTGAACCCAAGTGTAAAGCTTTACAAGGACTCCTTTTAAATTTCATCTTTTTAGATTTGGCCCAATAATGTAACCTATCCAAGATTTTCTGAAACCTAAATGACATCCAGAATTAGCTATAATTAGAGGTCAGGAAGTAGGCCTGACTTGAATAGAGTGCTGACTTGAATTCAAGGAGATCTGAGTTCAAAACCAGACTCAGACACTTAGTAACCAGGTGATCCTGGGCAAGTTACTTAGCCTCTGTCCACCTCAGTCTCCTCTACTGTAAAACGGGCATAATAATAGCACCTACCTGTCAGGGTTGTTGGGAGAATCAAATGAGATAATAGCTGTAAAGCACTTTCCAAACTTAAAAGTGCTTTATAAATGCTACCTATTATTATTACTCACTAGCTTCACATCATCGGCAGATTTGATAAGTAATATTAGAGTAGCATTTAATGTGATGTGTCCCAGCTAAAGTCTGAACAGTGTTCTGCATATGAAAATGTACTATCCAATATATTATTGTTATTAATTAATTATCTGTTATTAAACACGCCTGTCACTGTCCAAAGTGAAGAACAGTAAGGTTGGTCTCTCTTATGATTACGTTCTTCAACATACATGAGTAAAGGAAAATGTACTTCACCTTCATATGTCTTACATTTCATAAAAGGGTTCTACCCACTCCCAACTAAGCCCAACGCACTTTGCATGCACATTCTAGTTGTAAAGAATTACTTTCATAATGAGAGATCAAACAGGTTTTAATTCAGAAATGTATTATATTTTCTCACTATAGACACAGGCTGGTGTTTGCTTTTAAGAATTAACAAATTTGGTCATTGTTTTTCTCACCATGAACATTTGTCTACATTCAGTCATTAGTTAATAACACTAGAAATTTTCATAATGGAAATATGGAGGAATCATAAATTCAGTCAAATTCATATGTAGAAGAAGTGTAACTGTAAATTAATAAGGCTCTTTCATATGTGGCTCAAGATGTCAACCTCATTTCTCTATTATTGAACACTGCCAATAAAACTCTTCTTGTGATATGCATTTTATTTGTTGCATTGCTTATTGTATTTTGTTTTTTAAATAAAATATAAGTGGACAATGTATAAATTATTTGTATCAAAATAAAAACTTCAAATTGTGACCAGAAAAAAGGCAAATAAAAGTCAAGAGAAAGTGGTGCTGTGATTAAACAGAGTTATCACACAATCTTTCTGAATATTTGTCACTTACTTTGATACTCTAAAACCTTTTACTACTAATATGAAAAAAAATTAGCCATAGTTCTTACCAGGAAAGACAATCTCTGAGGGCATTATAATATGGATATCTAGATATAAGACAAATAGCAAAAGGCACAAAGCAGCTAACGGCATGTGTGGTCTGCCCAGGTATTTCGAAGTGTGCTTTGCCATTGTAGAAACAGTGTTCATCCTGAAAGTAAAGTCACACAATTATTATCTTGACCTTTTCTGACACTAGACCTCTCCCTCTCCCTCAATAATACATTTCAGGTAATTTGTGACAAGCCAAGGAAGGTGAGATAGTACAAGCCAGGCGTGCCAGACATCCTGACACGGTAGAGAGAACACTGGATTGGGAGTTAGAGGAAACCTGGGTAAGAATCCAGGCTCTGTTGCTTTCTGTGTGACCTGAAGCAATGGCCTCAGTTTCCTTACCAGAAATCAATCAGCAAGAATTCCTTAAGTACATACTATATGCTGGGCACTATTAGAAGCTGGGGATTCAAACATACAAAGCAACAGCCCCCCTCTCTTAATCCCCCCCACATATGTGTATGTATATGTATATGTGTATTTACACATATTCTATTAGAAGAGGTAACATATGTGTATGTACATATATGTACATGCGCATATTCATATATGTGCACTTCTATATGCATACAGAAATATAAATATGTGCACAGGTACATAAATGTGTATAATCCACATACAAATAAAATATATAAATACACATGTGTGCACATTTATATGCTTCAAGATACACGTGCACACATGCATATCAACATAGGCATGTATAATTATACATGTATGGATATACAGGTGTGTGCAGTGTATATATCATGTATACATATGAAATATGCATACATTTGTAGATACCTGTATATTTATATGCACATATGTGCACATGTGTGTATATGTGTGCATTAATATATGCCTTATACACTCATAGAAAAAGACATATGTGCACATGTCTATATTAATGTTTTATTTCTATGTGCATGTAAATTATACATACATACACACATGTGTACGTTCATATATATCTGCATATTTACATGCACACACAAACACATGTCATTGTGTATACAATCATGTATCAATACATTTATATGTGCACATATATGTACATATATATCCATATATACAGTACCTAAATGGACATACATAATTTGTATATAGACACATATATTTATATATAACATACAAAATAAATACTTAAATAAAAGTGAATTTAGAGGAAGGAACATGGAACTGGGGGTGGGGAGGTCAGCAAAGGGCTCATAGAGAAGGTGATGCGGAAATCTGGGATTCAGGAAGGAGGGAGGTGAGGATGACATGCACAAGGGCCAGCCTGTGCAAAAGGATGGAGACAGGGAGATAGAACGTTGTTTGTGAGAAACAGGAAGGTTAGTTTGGCTGGACTGTGAGAGTATGAAGGAGGTTAATGTATAATAAGGTTAATAATAAATGCTCTTCGGTTACATAGGGTTTTAAAGACCAGAGGAGTCTGCATTTGACTTGAGACTTAATGGGATGCCCCTGCAATTTATTGGGCATGGAAGGGACACGGTCAGACCTGAGCTTTAGGAAAATCACTCTAGTAGCTAGATGGAGGATGGATTGGAGAGGGGAGAGACTAACAGTGAGGACCCCAATTAGGAGACTATCGCAATAGTCCAGGCAAGAGGTTGTAAAGACCTGAATAAGGGCCGTGATGGTGTGAGTGGAAAGAAAGAAATCAATGAAAGAGAAATTGAAGAGGTAGAAATAATAAGATTTGGAAAGAGATGCTAAAATTACAAACCAAGAACAGGTCACTTAACCTTAAGAAGTCTTGGTTTTCTTGTCTTTAAAATGGAGGTAATACCTGCAATGTTTCCCTTACAGCAAAGGTTCTTAACTATTTTTGTCATGGATTGCTTTGGCAGCCTAATGAAATCTATGGACCCCTTCTAAAAATAATGTTTTTAAATAATTGAAGGAAATGCTAAATTTCAGTTAGAGGTTAATGAAAATAAAAATGTTACCTTTTTCCCATCTAAATTTTTGGATCCCCTAAAACCCATCCGTAGACTGGGCAGGGGGAAGAGAACATAGGATAGAACTCCTTGACTTACAGGGTTGTTGTGAAGATCAGGATAATGTCCGTATAGTACTTTGCAAACCTTAAAGCGCCCTATAAACATGAACCATTCTCTTCAGAACATGCCTCAGTTGAGGTGACATGTTTAAGAATCAATTTACAAAAGAAACAACACCAAAAGTCAACTACATAGCTGGGGGAAAAGCACCCAGGGTCGCTGGACTTTTGTTTTATTGCTACCTTAAGCAGAGAGTGGGGCAGCTAGGTGGCTCAGCGGATAGAGCATCAGCCATGGAGTCAGGATGACCTGAGTTCAAATCTGGTCTCAGACCAAACACTTAACACTATCTGTGTGACCCTATCTGTGTGACCAAGTCACTTAACCCCAACAGCCTAAAAATAAAAAATAAAATAAAATAAAAAAGCAATGAGATTACCTCCTCTAAAGTAGGGCATAAAAATCCTTAGGTAGTTATGTTTCCCTTTTGAAAATGCTTTAAAATAAGAAAATTCCCCAAATCTACCAAAATGTCAACAGAAAATGTAAAACATATAACAACCTACTTGTACAGGTCTGTAGTATTGTGCAACCACACCATACGTTCTTTTACCACAAACATCAGTAAGGACTAGGAAATGTACCCGGTCTTCCTTGGGTTCAGGAGCTACACAGAGGCCTCCTGTAAAAAGAAGGGGGGGGGGAATTCTCATGAGTCACCTACACAGCACAAATTCTTAGAGAAATGGCACCTATACTTAGTATAGCACAGGAGTATTAAAGTACTCTCAAAGCCTTCCTTTATAGTGGACCAAAATTGGACTTCCAGATCCTCTTTTCTCCATCTACAGATGATACAAAGCTAGTAAATAATAACAATAGGTAGCATTTACAAAGCACTTTTAAGTTTGGAAAGCGCTTTACAAATATGATCTCATTTGATTCTCACAACAGCCTTGCTATATCTGGTTTGTACGCAGTTTGCATCTTGTCTTCCCCATTAGATTATGAGCCCTTTGAGAGCAGGGACTGGTTATTGCCTTTCTTTGTATACTGTACTTAGCACAGTGCCTGTGCTAAATCCTGGGGCTACAAAGAAAGAGAAAAAACAGTGCCTGGCACACAGTAGGTGCTTAATAAATGCTAACTGACTATTTTTGCTTTTGCATTAAGTAAGGAGTTTCTGTTTCAGAGCTGTTAGTGCCATGGTAGCAAATTTTGTTGAACTGGGAAACACAATAATAGGGGCTCAGGAGCTATAGTGCTAGAGTATTAAGAATGCCTTTCTTCTCCCCCTAGTACAAGGTTACCTCTAGGACCCCAAGAGAGTTTGATTCCTGGCCATGAGGTGACAGCCCACTGTTAAGAACCCCAGACCTGCTGGTGAGAGGGCAGACTGGGGTGAACAAGCCAGCCCAGAAAGAGAGGAGGTGGCCACATCCACACTGTGGCTACATAAGCATAACACTAAAGTCTTACAGACAAAATTTTTTCCAGAGCACAAAAGGAGTGAGGAAGGTGGTACTCTGGATGAACTCCAGATCTACTCAACCCACAGTCATGGTCACTGTAGCCAGCAGGGATCTGGCTTCACCTTCTAGATACGATCAGAGTAAAACAGAGGAGGGCAGGTAGAGATAGGTAGTTATACTTTTAACAAGAAGTGCTTAGCCTTGGTTCTCTTCCACTAAGCACTTCCTCTATTATTAATAACAACAAACTGGTGCCTGAAATACCATGCTCCTTCCATGGGAATCGGTGCACCAGCAGGACAGCTCTGCACAGAACTGCTACAGGAACACCTTTGTCTTTATTTGTACTAGCATCATGAAGAACAGTTGGAAATGGGCAGTGGGCAGTGGGCAGCAAGCAGCATAGGTAAACATGGCCAAATCAAATTCTACAAGGTGAACAGCATTTGGGTGGATGTGATGACTTTTAAACCATCTGCTAAGCCTTCTTGAGAAATATTCATTTATCAAAGTAATAGAATTTAGATTTGTTGTTTTTGTTTAGTTGTTTCAGTTGTGTCTAACTCTTCGTGACTCCTTTTGGGTTTTTCTTGGCAAAGATACTAGCCTGGTTTTCCATTTCCTTCTCCAGCTCATTTTACAGATGAGGAAACTGAGGCAAACAGGATTAAGTGACTTGCCCAGGGTCACACAGCTAGTAAATATCTGAGGTCAAATATGAACTCAGGTTCTCCTGACTATAGGCCCAGCGCTCTCTATCCAGTGCACTACCTAGCTGCCCGAATGCAGATTTTATTACCACAAAGAATGACACATATGATGAACATATAAAAATATGTAAAATGTCTAGAAAATAATGCAAAGTAAAAAGGTACAACTAAGAGAATTATACACACACTAACTCCTTTATGCCAAAACATTTGGTATAGCGTGTATGTAAATGTAGCACCATAAGGCGGTAATAATAATTATTATTATTACTATAGCTACCATTATACAGCATTTTAAGGTTTGCAAAGAATTTTATATGTCACCTCATTTGAGCCTCACAACAACCCTGGGAAGCAGGTACTATCCTTGTTTTACACATAGAGACTGAGAGTAGCTAAATGACTTCCTCAGGGTAACATGCCTTGCATGTATCTGAAGCAGGGTTTGAATTCGTCTCCCTCATTCCAAATGCAACACTTTACCTACTGTGCCACATAGCTACTCTTGTTCTAAAGAAGTTAGTTCACTTCTAATCCTCATTATCTGATAATTGTTGGCTTCCTGACATGCTGATCCTGACATGTGCATAGCACCAGCACAGGTTGGTGCTATGAAAATTGTGAGCTTGTTTAAACACGGGCTGATTTCTTACAATAAATTATTTTATAAGACTAAAAAACATACATTTTTAAATTAAAAAAACCTACAATAGAGATTTATTTAAGTGTTAAGCATGATATAGGATTGTGATGGAATACAATCATGATGTAAGAAATGATAAGCTCAATGATCTTAGAAAAACATGGAGCTTGCATGAAATAATGAAGAGTGAAATGAGCAGAACCAAGAAAACACTGTACACAGTAACAGCAATATTGTTTTAAGAATAACTTTGAGTGAATAAGTCATTTTGACCATTATAAACCAAATTAATTATAAAGGACATATGAAGAAAGATGCTATCTGCATCTGGAGAAATAATTGATAAAGAGAAGTATACATAGAATAATTTTACATATATATCCCTATTTGTGTCTAATGGTAGTCATCTTTAGGGCAAAGGGGGGGAGGGAAGAAAAATGGGAAAAAAAAGGAAATTTACATGATAACTTTATTATATATTTAAAAGGAATAGCAAGTTATACATAATAGATTTGCAGTTGCATGTGCAAATTACCTTTTTTATTATATTATATTATGGAAATGGTGGTTTTATTCCAGAAATTAAAAATAAATAAATAAAGTAAAGAGACCATACCTGGAAAGCACAGCTGTGACAAAGCACTCAGATCAACACCATTTGGAACACTAACATGTTCTACATCAGGTACTTTCTGATCTCCATGGGGGTTCTTCCAGTTCTCAGTCCTGACCTTGTCTCTTTTTTTTCTGAAGGATCGTCTTCTTGTTTTATTCAGATTACTACAACTGGCACTAGCTGTTGAACTGTCCTCTTTACTGAGGAACGGAGGCACAAAAACAGAAAGAACCTCAGGGTCAAGAGGAAGAAGTTTTTTCATTCCTTTCTTCTGGGCAACCTAAAACAAAAGCAAAAATAAAAAAGGGAATAAAAATGTGATTTGTCTTTTGCATGGTACTTTACTGTTTTGTCTTATAGCTTTCAAAATTCATAAAATCATAAATAACTCTGGAAGTCATCTAGAACAACTCCTTCATAATTTACAGATAAGGATGATCATCCACCCCCAATTGGCACGGTCCTATATCTCTCTTCCCTCTAGTGGCTAAATGCCTTTAGAAGACCATCTGTAATAGATAAAGATAATCTTCCATCCCTGAAAGCTTTGGTCCTATATCTCTCCTCCTCCTTCTGGCCAAATGCCTTTAGAAGACTATTGGTAATAGATGTTTCCACTCCCTCTCCTCTCACTCTCTGATACAATCAGGCTTCCAAACTCATTATTCAACCAAAATTGCTCTCTTCAAAGTTGGCCAGATCCAATGGCCTGTCTATAATCATCATCCTTCCTGAACTCTCTGCGGTATTTGAAAACTATTGATCATCCCCCTCTTCTGGGATGCTCTCTCCTCTCTGGATCTGCGTAACCATCTTCTTTGCCGGACTACTCCTCCTTTGTCCCCTTTGCTGGATCTTTACCCAGGTCTCATCTATTAACTGTGGGTGTCTCCCAAGGCTCTGTCCTGGGCTTTATATTATCTTGACTGGTGATCTCATCAGCTCCCATGAGTTTAATAATCATTTCTATGCAGTTAATTCCTAGATCTAACTAGCCCCAGTTTCTCTTCTGGACTCCAAACACATTATCACCAAGTTCCTCTTAGAAATTTCCAACTAGATGTTGCACAGATATCTCAAACTCAACACATTCAAAACAGAACTCATTATCGTTTCTCCTAAACTCCACCTGCTTTCAAACTTCCCTACCTGCCAGCCTCACTTCTTGAAGTCATCTTTGACTCCTCATTTTCACTCACCTCATGTATCTCTTCCCTAATCTTATTGTTTCTCCCTGAACAATTTATCCCTTAAATGTCCTTCTCTCTACTCACACAACTCTAGTTCAGGCCTTAATTACCTCATTACCTCTCACTTGGACTACTGCAATAACTTGTAAATTGGTCTTCCTACCTTAAGCTCTCCCACTTCAATCCATCTTTTGCTGAAACGATTTCCTAAAATATAGGTTTGACTGTGTCATTTCTGCTATTTCAGTGAGCTCGAGCGGTTCCCTATTATCTTCCAGAACAAATACATTTAACAAATTCAACAATGTGTACCTTTTGCCAGCCATTATTATTGGTGAAATGATGTAAGTTTGTTTCAAAAAATACTTCTATAGGCTTTTCCATTGTTTATCTTCTGCTCCATCTTCCTTCTCTTTTTTGACAAGGAATTGTTACTCCTTCCACAGCTGTTTTAAGTCCTAGTTTAATTCATATTAGATGTATTTATGTTACAGGGGCAGGTGGGTGACACAGCAGATAGAATGTTGATCCTGGAGTCAAGAAGACTCATCTTCCTGATTTCAAATTTGGCCTCAGATACTCTGTGCCCTTGTGGGACTTGCTATAGGCAAGTCGCTTAACCCTGCTTGCCTCAGTGTCCTCATCTGTAAAATGAAATGGAGAAGGAAATGGGAAACTACTTCAATATCTTTGCCAAGAAGACCCCAAATGGGGTCATGAAGAGTTGGACATGACTGAAATGACTGAACAACAGCATTTCTGTTAGGATGCTTTCCATATTGGTTATGGTCTGTTTTACAGATCTGAAAGTGCAATGTAGTAGTATAATATAGTAATATGATATAATACAGATATTAATTGCTTTAAATTTGTTCTTCCCATTTAGCTTTGGTTTCAGGACTACTAACTTTTCTTTGACGTCTTTAGGCTCAAAGTGTCTTGCCTGGAGAAGATAAAGACATTTATTTACTGTTTCACTGTGACATCTGGACTGAAGCACAAAATCTTTAGTCTCTATCTTTCTTTGGCATGCATCAAGAATTTTACAGTTAACTATTTCAAAAGCCATTTTTATATCATTGGAAGAAGTTTCCATAAGCTGTTTAATGCGTTTTTTGGTGGAATCATATAGTTTGAAGGTATCCACACATATTAAATGATTAATAAGGTAGTTTGATTTGACTTTCTCTTAAATCTGAAAGCCACCCTTAGAGTTCTATTTAGGCGATATTATAATGGGTTTTACTTAAAGCAAGGCAGAAGCATACCTTGTTTAAATCATTAACTTGAAAGATGCCACGTTTGAATGTTGGTAGCATGTTTTAAATAGAGAACAGTTTTCCATGTGGCCAACAACAACTCTAATATTCTCACTATATTTTGGCCCATTCAATATATTTGCAGAACATGAACAAACCGTAAGTGTTAAAGTAAAACAAAGGTTTTTGCAATAATCAACAAGGCCAGTTTAATGTTCCTGAATTTTCTGGTAACTTGTTCAGTAATTACTATATTGGTAATAAATTGTTCTCTACACGCTCTGGAATTTTTTGTTGTGGGTCAGTCATGTTGGACTCTTCATGACCCCATGGTCCATATTGTCCATGGGGTCTTCTTGGCAAAGATATCAGAGTAGTTTGCCATTTCCTTCTCCAGTGGATTAAGGCAAATAGAGTTCAACTGACTTGCCCAGGGTCACACAGCTAGTAAGAATCTAAGGCCATATCTGACATCAGGTCTTTCTGACTCTAGGCCCAATGCTCTATCCACTGACCCAGCAACATGCCTCTTAGTCAAACAGAGGCCATGTGATACAAGCTGTGAATGCATTGCATAAAATACATAAACATGTAACTGTTCTGTATTTGGATGTGTCATTGGTGTTCTCATCTATTGGTAGTAAATTTGCAATCCTTCTGTTAAAGAGGGAATCAGGCTTGCGTCTGAGAGGAGGCTGGTAAAGTTCTTTGCTAGAAATTCACCCTGTGAATCATTTGCAGCTTAGAGACCCTACCCAGCCCTGTCACTTCGCAGTTTTTCAGAGAAGCTTGAGTTTGAGTCACTTTTCTAAACATAAATGCTCGAGCATTCATGAAATTAATTGTGTGCAAGCTTTATAATTCATGTTTGATACAGCTGGCATTCTCATTGCATTCTCATTGGACTTCTTGAAAACATACAGATCACCAGAAATTTTCCATATCCATTTTCTTCCTTCTCCTTCCACTAATTTCCCTGCAATTCAAGCCTCTCTAGTGAAGATTTTGATTGATATAAAATTATTTTTTTCTTCTTCACATCGCTTTAATCTCTTGACTTTGAAATTTTTTATCTTTTTTTTTACATCAACAAAATTGCTCCCTCCCTCATTCCACAGAGTCATCCCATATAATATTTTTAAAGGAAAAAAAGAAGAGGTTGAAGAGAAAAAAACCAGCAAAACTGATCAGTACACAGAAAGAGCCTCAAAATATATTTAGTATTCCATGCCCAAGAAACTCCTATCTCTGCAAAGGAATATGGAGGGTCTCATATGGATTCTTTGGGGCCATGTTTGTTTTCTGTAATTTTGCAACATTCATTCTCGATTGTGTTTGCTGCTCTTTCTATCTACACTGTTATAGTTATTGCTTATATTACTATCTTTTGACTTTTATATTCAATTACTGATTAAGTAATTCTAGAATTTCAAATACACTTTTACTTTCCAAATTCCTTTTTATTGCCTTTAACTGGGAGAGATGGCTTTGAACTTTTCTACTGTGTGTACATGTTAGATATTGATATAATCTTCTGATGTTTTTCTGCTAGTCTTTGGAAGCTTTCTCAAGATGATTTTTCCATGGTGGTATGTGATGCTTCTCCCTAGGAGTATTCCTTGATAATTCTACTTTTCTTCCCATTGTCATTATTGTTATAAAGGCCCTGAACTGACTTTACACTTTGTCAAATATTATAGGAGAATGCATTCGTTGATGGAGATTACAGCTAATCTCAGCTTTTAAAATGACTCTATTTTTAGTACAGTTGGTCCACTAGTTAAAATTGTGCTAATTCAAAAAGGCTTTTCAAAATACTTGCCCAAATATGACCATCTCCTCTTCAAAATAATTTGAGACATCAGCATTGTTTTACCATTTCTTTCATTATTAGGTACTGTTTCTGGAATTTGCATTAAGTGAAGATTATCAATGACCTCAACTGTTCCTCCTTCAGATTTCAGTAGCTCCTCAATCTTATCTCACCTAATGTGGGTTTAGGGTTGAAATGATTTCTTGTGATCACCAGGTACTGGCTAGAAATACATCGTTGTGTGACTTGGAGCTTAAAGTATTGTTCACAAAAGGAGCACGAAGAAGTCTTTGCCTGCAACCGGTAGAATCTGTTTCTAATTTTGTCATGCGCTAGGAGAACTCTGTTTTGTTATGCTCTCATTGGAGAACAATGAAAGCATTCATAGATTCAGTCCATTGAGGTTTGCCTGCTATAGTGGTCAGCATCATCGGCACTAAAGAATTTCCAGCTAGTGAGGAATAGTTATTGTTGATTTCTTCTGGTACGTCTTGACTTTTTGTGGCACCAGAACAAGAACGAGCAGCATTTTTTCCTGCTATCTTCTGTGTTAAGATGATCACCAAGACCCTACCAAGTAGGGCTAGCAATCAACCCTGTGTTGCCCCATCCATTTCTTTGATGGGAACAGTTGTAGCACTTTGACTGTGGTGCTGTACTGTCAAAAGCCCAATTCTCCGCTTTTGGGGGTTCCTGAGTATAAAGTGTTTCACAGCAGACATTCAAAGTTATCATAATAGTCTCAGGGTACATGAAGTCCAAGTTGGCTGATATTCCCCGGCTTTGGCATTCTGGCCTTCCTGGCCTGCCAAGGCATGGAAGATGGGTTGACCTTTGAAGGACCTATTATAATCATAATAATTATTATCATCATCTCGTTCTCTTCATCTTTTACAATGGGTTTTAGAAAGAAACAGTCCTGGGATGTCTCCATTCGGCTATCTTGCTATTATTACTATTATTATTGTTGTTGTTACTATATGCACTGGAGGCTATGTTGTACAGTCACTCACGGAGG